TTTTCTGTATGGGCACTATGTTTCATGTTGAGGGGGGTAGAGAGGAGGGTGTTATGTTGAGGGTAGTGTTCATGTGGAGGGTAGAGGGGGGTGTTCATGTGGAGGGGAGAGGTGTTATGTTGAGGGTAGAGGGGGTGTTATGTTGAGGGTAGAGGAAGGTGTTCATGTGGAGGGGCAGAGAGGTGTTATGTTGAGGGTAGAGAGGGGTGTTATGTTGAGGGGTGAGAGGGGGTAGAGAGGGGGGTGTTCATGTGGAGGGGATAGAGAGGGGGGTGTTGGGGGGGTATAGCCCCACCCCCCCACACACACAGAGCAGGGTAGTTATCGCCGCGTGTACTTGAAGCCCGGTAGATAGTGTGGCGGTGGAGTGTGGCAAAATGTTTCATCTCTTTCACACACTGTTTGGGAGAGTGATCCATTTCTCCCCATACTCCCCTCGTCCCCTCTCATCAGTCCCAGTATTGATACAGTATCATCTGGGAAAAGGAAAATCCAAGCCGATATGATCAACTCCACACTACAGTCCATCTTCTTGGGAACTTTATTTAATTGTTATATCCACTTCATGTTGTATTACAGTAGTATTTTATAATTTATTTTTCTTTTTTTTCCTGGAATAAGGAAATTTAATTAAATTCATTTGCTGTATAACTTTATTGAAATTCTGTTCAAATTTCTCTTACTTCCATATTATGAAATTCTGTTCAAATTTCTCTTACTTCCATATTATGAAGGCAACTTTGTAACCTTTATAGTTATGTAAGTCTCCGGAACCTGTTGTATCGTGTGGCGGGGGGGGGGGTTGTAAAATAGGTCAAAATTTTGTATGAATGTTTTGTAGGTGTCTTGTGTTAGTTGAGGGTGCCTGCCGCCATGTATACAGCATCACAGTTATGCCTCACTCTCCTGGTGTTGAGATGTAGTTGGTGGAGTTGATGCTGCTTGCTTCTGGCAACGCTCCTTGGGGATTAAGGTTGATATTAACAAAATATTTGGAGGGATGTGGAACGCGTGTGCTTGTCGTTGTTGTGAGGAAATGCCCTGGATGGTGTGCCTGTGGGTGAGGCAAGCCAGTCTTGTCAGTGTTGATAACATCAAATATCACGAGGCGAGTTTTACTACAGGACCGGTGATCCTCTCGCAATTTTGTTACGGTGTCTTGTTTCATGCTTAATTGTTTTATTGGTAAACTTGATTTTTTTGTCGTGTCATCGATTATGTAAAAACTTTTGTATGTTGTAAAAAGTTGAACATGGCAATATATTTGGCAACTTGTTGCTTTGGTGTTGACTGTGTAATTATATGGTTAAGTCAGTTGTTCTTTACCACGTGTTATTGTTTTTTTTTTATAAATTTGTTGGGGAGCATAAGTGTGTGTAGCGCCTGGCGGTGGTGGTGTGTGTTGAGTGTTCTGGGAGTGTGTGTGATACGACAAGTGTGGGAGCGGGAGTGGCTGTAGCGGTATAAACATTGGTAGACTAGTCCAGTCTGGTGGTGTGGCGGCAGTGTGGCACAGGGTGGGGGACGGGCTGGGCGTGTAGGCACCACTCTCCCTCACTATAGTGTATCCTACAGTCCTCTCCATACTATTTTACAGTGCATGTTGGTGGGTGTAGCACTAGTAGTATGTCAACAGTGTCAGTGGTGGTGGGCGGCAATGAGTGGAGGAGCGGGAGGTCATAACTCACACAAGCATTCTGTAATAAGTTTGTTCCTCGTCTCAGAAACATGATGATTTACGTGCTAATTTATGAAGGTGAACTGCTGTCATAACCAAAGTATACGTGAGTGGTTGGCAAGTGTTGGCCATGTTTACCCACAGAGGGTTGTTTATGTAGATCACTTATCGTCGACACGTAGACAGTGTATCAGTGACATGATAAGTTCGTCACTATACAGCCGCTCATGCCAACCACTTGTAACGAGGAAGAGCCTACTACTTGTGTCCACCAGTGATTCCTCCCAAGCTATCGAGTTAAAAAAAGTGACAAGAAGGAAACATGTTCAACTACCTCTTTGTATTTTCCCAATATGATTCGTTCATACTTATACTGGTGTCAGTGGCCCTCCTCGACGGTGCCTCGCTGTATAAACATCTGGCACAGATAGGAAGTGAGGGAGCGAGGAGGAGGAGGCAGGTGTTAACTGGGGTGGGGAGGGGAGGAGTAAGCAGGTGTAAACTGAGGTGTAGGAGGGGAGGAGGAGGAGGAGGCAGGTATAAACTGATTTGGGGAGGGGAGGAGGAAGCAGGTGTAAACTGAGGTGTAGGAGGGGAGGAGGAGGAGGCAGGTATAAACTGATTTGGGGAGGGGAGGAGGAAGCAGGTGTAAACTGAAGTGTAGGAGGGGGAGTTTGGGAGCGTCACAGGTGTTTCCCAACACCCCGTCGGGCGTGGTTTTCCCAATTTACTGTGACTGTTCTAGCGATTATTTCCATTGTTCTCTATTTCGGTTATTATCAGTGATCCAGTTTTGTAATTGTTAGTGTTCCATGTTGGTAATTATTAGTGGTCCTTCTGTTAATAATTATTAGTGACCCCTATGTTGGTAATTTTCAGCAGTCCATATGTTGGTAATTATCAGTGGTCTATATGTTGGTGATACTAGTTGGCATGACGATTTTCGTATTGATGTCTCCCGGTGTCTATGTTGGTTTCAAGTTGTAATGTCTTTTGCCTTCGTAAGATTTCCCTCTTTGTTGATCAGTGCATGAGTTTATATATATATATATATATATATATATATATATATATATATATATATATATATATATATATATATATATATATATATATATATATATATATATATATATATATATATGCAAGTAAATCACCGTAGGTGCGCGTGATCTAGGTATATGCTGATAACCACAAGGAAAGAAGAATACACGAAGTTCCCAAGCGCTTTCGTGTAATTCATATCTTCAGGGGTGAGTACAGACTAAAGAGAAGTACAAAACTAGGTGTATATATACAGAGGAGGGTGAGACCAGGTCCACATTAGTCTCATTAAACATACCGAAGCATTCAACATGAATTTGAGTAATGGCATGTACAAACTGGACAATTTTGTAATTAAGAATATTTGTAACCAGGTGAGAAGGTTGGGTCACCTTACCCTCTGACCTGACTACCTACCGTTGCCGTGCTATTTAAAGATTAGTAGGGTCATTACCTAATACCTGACCATTGTGGGCCTGGTCTCACCCTCCTCTGTATATATACACCTTGTCTTGTACTTCTCTTTAGTCTGTACTCACCCCTGAAGATGTGTGCGCTTAAACAAGCATAGCTCATGAATGGGAGTTGAGGTTTTGTTGACACCAAGTTCTTCATGTATCTGGCACAGCTAAATGTCACAACAGATGTTCAGAAGGTAATCCAGAAACTAAGTGTGTTGAGAGCGGTTGTCATTTGTGGCGGGCATCTTGGAGATGACTAACCATTCAGCTCAGTTCAGTCACGTCTTTAAGTGTCATATATATATATATATATATATATATATATATATATATATATATATATATATATATATATATATATATATATATATATATTAGTGATTGTTGTACACAATCTCCGAGGCCAGTGTAAAGTAAAAACTTGACATTATTAATAGTTATGGGTAATTGAATGAGAATTGTAAAATGTACAAATTGTTTCTGTACTCATCGTCATTACTCGATGAAATTGTCAAGTGTTCTCTTATTCAATGTGCGTTTTGGTGATGATGCGAAATCTATTTTTCCATTCATACCGAGAGATGTCAAGTTTAGCGGAACTGTACTCGTGTTTGTATAGTACTACTGTATATCTACACTTATTGACAACTTCATTTGTCTAATATTGAACAGGTTTTACATGTAACAAGGCGTTCATATATTCTAACATGTAAAAGTATTTTATTAAATTGCCATGTGAAAGAAACACGATTATGTAACAGGAAATTCTGACAACTAAAATCTATTTCATCAGTGTAATAATTCTAACCGTCAAAAGATTCTTCTGACACAGAAAACTTTTTCCCAAATCATAAATACTTTTCTAGATGTCGGTAAATGAAATGTATGACAAACACACTTTTTTAACACTCAATTAACAGAACACGTAATTAACAGAATATATCAAAGCACACATTATATATTAACTTGTAGCAGACCTCTATCTCTTAGAAACGATTTTTCAACTTCATGCCTCCGGATACACAATCATTAATACTTTATTTTTCCCCTCCTAACTAGGAATCAGATGAGCTCTTGTTATGGTCGAGTTAATGTACAAATTAACGCAATTTTGGACGTAATTTTTTATAATTATCTTAAGTAAGTTATCTTACGGAGAGCGCCTGGCTGGCTTTCCACTGACCAAACTTGGGAATACGAACCTAAGTGTCTTAAAACTGCCCTCACGTGTGTGCGTATAGCTGTCTGTGTGTATCGTGTATCCCGAAGTGGTACCTTAAGTGTATCTCACGTGGTGTGTACGGTACGTGTCGGTGCAGTGTCGTAATACACCTCAGTAGCTCAGTTTTTCACACTCCACGCGATGACGTGTTGCCCGTTACTGCGATCTATTTCCTCAAAACAATACTTTTTCATTAATTCTGAAATTTTAACGTCATATCTGAATATTTGGATATTTAATCGAACTTTTTAATGGCTGTGAAGGTTGGTGATTATAGCTCCATGGACTCGTTTACTACGTTGAAACGATTGTATTTTTATTTCTAATAATGAGATGTGTTGCTTAGTAAATTTACCTGAGGAGGTGCGCATGTGCAGCTGGCAAGGTCACCCTCTCAGCTTTGGTTTGGTTGATTATTTACGCTGGCAGTATTATGTTACAGCATTGTGCGCGTTAGGTATTGTTGATCAAGGGGCCGCGCCATAACCTCATATGCCCTGGCTGCCCCTTCTTGTAAACGTCCTCTCCCCCCCTCAGAGTCATGTGGGTGATGTCACTGCTCACTGCCATGCAGGACAGAGGTTCGTACACAAAGAAATACATCATATTCATTGACAGTACAGTATATAGGTCACTGTTCACCCCCCCGTCGTACTTTCTCTCCTCTCCCTTTTGTTGTCTTATTTGACTTATGTGATAATATATGGAATCACATATTTTACTTGGTATGTATTACCTATTTTGCCTTGCCATCTTAATTTTGTTTAACCTTCTGCATCGTTCTTGTAACTGGTTAGATATGGGGTTCATGGTTTCCCCCTAACGATCTCGTTTAATTATCAGTTTCTGCAATGGAGGATTAACAAGATTTAATAGAAATTTAATAAAGAATGGAATGAAAGTCACGAAAACAAAAGTGAATGTCAAAAACAACAGTACAGTTATAATAAATAGCGTGGGTGAAGGAGTGTGGAAAATTTGCAGTTATTTTGATGAGTCTTGTTACCTGTGACATGATAGTGCTGCTGGAGATGGTGCCAAGCTGCCAAAACTACAGTACTGTATCAGTTTGCAAGTGAGAAGTGGCTGGAAGTCAGTGAAAGAAGTTTAGGGAGCTATTGCCTCTATTGATGGCTTGAAAGAAAAGTTTGAAGTGTGTAGCCAGCACAAGAAGTGTGTTGTTGTATGACTGAAACATGGGCAGTTAGAGAGGATGACATACGCAGCATTGATCGAACTTATATACAAATGATGAGATTGGTGTGTAATGTGACATTGAGAGAGAAAAAAAAACCTCTTTATATGGAGAATATTGGAGAGGTTTGCTTGGGCCTAAGAGGTAGGATTAGATGGTTTGGGTATGTGGAGAGAATGAAGGAAACCAACTGGACCAAGATGCATGAATTTGGAGGGGAGAAGAGCACGAGGTAAATGGGTGAGATTGTGAGAATTGATCTTTGTGATAAGCACCTGACTAGAGAGGTTATAGAGTAACAGTTCATCGTGCAGCTTAGTGAGCTGCCATTGGTTAATCATTGCTATTGTATGCTTGCATGAAAAATGGCCATAAAACATTATTGGCGATAATGAATATTTTTAAGTGAACAGCTAGAAATAAAATGAAATATATTTTCTCAATATTAAAGTGTTCTGTCGTTTTTGTTTTTTTTTAAACAGGCATTGGTGGTGAAGCAAATAGGAAAACCTGTACTGCCTGGTATTGTTAGCTTTATGGTTGGGGATGCAGGTAGCCTCTTTTCCTATTATCGTCCTCATCTCAAATTTTGTGTCACCATACTGTGTTCTGTATACTGTACAGTAAATACTGTATATACAAAATCTTAAACAGATTATTTAGCTGTTTGTTTTTATTTTATTAAATAGTTATTGCCATATATGGTAATGTACCTTAATTCTTCACACTCTGATTGAAGAAATTCAAAGGATATACTTAAGCTTCAGACCTACTAGAGAATTTTAATAAAACTTCATTCACAGGTTTTTTGTAGGTAGAGGATGAAAACTACAGGTATATTTTTGTCATCATGTCATAGGTCAAGGACAGAGACAATTCTTTAATTAACTGCATTCAGTCTATCTTTATGAGCCTTTTAAACATTTCATGATCTCTCCTGGGGCATCAGAATTTTCTTTGGCCATTCACATGTTCTCATGAATGCTCATAATGTCAACATACATGTACAGTATGTTGTATCATTGCTGCTCATAAGTCAAGTCTCACTGGTATGGTGGTGACAGGTGTCTCCATTTGACATCATCATGGGTACTAGAGTCACTTGTTGCCTTATTTCTTTATATTGATCCAAGCTGTATCCTCTCTTCTCATAATGATTTTATCTGTACACTATTGTCAAGCTCTTATTGACTTCAACTGGATTGTCTCAGTAATGGTGGAGGTGACGGGTTAACACCCAAAGGACTTTATGGAATTGTACCAAAATTTCTGGAGATACTATTTGCATGATACTAAATATGAAAATGGAAACGAAGTTACACAGAACCTAACAGAATCTGACCTAACCTACATAACCTTACCTAACTTCCTTGGACCCCCCAGTATATTAAGCATAAAGAACTTACTTTGGTATCAGGTACATTACCAATGAAAGCACTCCTCTTCAAGATGCATGGTGTAATTTTACATTTTATGTGGATGGAAGAGGACAACCAGTTGTTGCACTGAATCATTTCTTCTTCACTGTCAGTTCTTTGCTGGGTTTTGAACACTGCCAACTAGTTTATGTTGACAGATGATCTCTTGGAGATGGTCTTCATCCTCCACTAATACAGATAACTTGCAATACGATATTAAGCACGATGCGATAACAATGCCATTGAAAAACAAGATGGCTATCTTCTTCTGTCCTCTTTGAAAAAGAACAGTAGTACAGGTATACTCGAAAGAAATTAGAACTGTATCCAAACCCCTAATGGGACTTGAGTCCAACTACAGTACTATATGAATCTCATCCTTTTTACACAGAATAGGCTCAAGAACCAATTTTGTGAAAAGAAAAAATTATTTGCACAAGACAACAAGGAAAGTGAAGCCTATAACACTGAAAACAAAAGACATTTATGCCAATATTTATGGTAATAAAACCACCCAAAGAGCCTCCATTGTTACTTTTAATGTTTACAAAGACTGGAATTAAATTTTTTTAGTGTAATTGATGATGACAATAAGCATTGTCATGGGAGAATTCTCGGCGTAATATTACGGTAAATTTTTTTTATCTCCGTGTACAAAGCATGTAGAGACATGAAATTACTCCCTTATGATAAGTTTCTTTGCCATGTTTTATCCCATCTTTTTCCTCATGCTTTATCCACTATATGATCTCAGATAGGGAGAAACAAAACAAAAATTTAATTAACTGAAGAAGTTGTCGTATCGTTTTTATTACTAAATATCACCCAAACAACACGTGTGCAAAATATGAACGAAGTCTATAAAGTCCTCCTGGTGCTGTCTGCTCTAGTATTATCATTGTTGCTGCTCTTAATGATTCACAGATGCTCTTAAGGAAATCAGGTGACTTATAGGTGCATTTAGTGACCCCAGGTGAGAGGGATGAGTGTCTACTTATGCCACAAATATTTTTCTCTCTTTAGTCTGTTCTCACCCACTTCCACCTAGGACCACTAATCTCATCCCGAGCTTACCCTTTTCCTCCCGTTTCCACAAATTTTCGACAGTATCTTATCTTTTAGTGCAAGATATTTATGGCCATCCTCAACCTGTCACATACCTGTATTGTATATTCTAGACAGGGAAATAATCAAGCTGTTATCTTTGTAATGTCATGGTTGATAAGTGTTGTTAAGTCAGTAAATTTTTCTTCTTGGATTAAATTTTTGACAATGATTAACAATTGTCACCTTTTTAATAAAGCTTTTATGTATGTACCTTTGTATGCAGTTAATTTTTAGATATGCGAGTACATTATATGCAGATACTTTACTGCTCATCATTAATATACAGTTCATCTCACACATATACTGTACTGTATATATGTAGTACAGTATATACCAGTAAAGTACTGCATATAATTATAAATGTGTGTACATATGCAGTATAATTATGTACGATGTACTGTATATTTAAAAATTCCACCGTACTTATATATTCGAGTCCATAAGATGACAGTTGCACCAGAAGACTCAAGTGATCAGTGCTATAAACTATCTTAGTCATGGGGATACACCCAGCCCGGATCCTACGTCAGCGGAGCATCCCTCCCCCAACAGTGCTTGTGCGGCGGTGTAGGGTAGCTCATGAAGCCGAGGAGAAGGATGCACCCACTGGATGGAGGGTGGGCATGTGGTGCGAGGACAGGGGCTTACTTGGATGGAGGGAGGGAGGCTGGTGGAGAGATAAGGAGAGTGGGGCTAGTAGTGGGGATGTGCCACACACGTACGATGTGGTGATGGTGATGGTCTACGTGATGCTGTGTCTGCTGCTGGTGCTGCTCGGGGTGTTCTTGTCGTGCTTCACGCTCATTTCAGGTAGCTACACCACCACTAACACTGCTCATACTCACTCTCACTCACCTGTCCTACATTCATATTTCCTGCCCACTTAATGCTAATTACTGCTACTGTACTTGTTTAATTGTGATAGAAGTGACAATATAACAAACACCATATGTGTGTGTGTGTGTGTGCGTGTGCGTGTGCGTGTCCTCTCATGTAAATAGTAAATGTTAAAGATAAAATAAATAAATTGTCTAAAAACATAAGAGATGCTAATTATGATTATCTTTATTTTTGGAATTGAATATTAAAAGATTTTAAATACTGTATTCTTTAACTATCAACTACAGTACAGTATTTTACATGCCCTCAGATGTAACACTGCAAGATTTACATACTTTGTTTAAAGTACATTGCAGTATTACAATACCTGTATCTGTTAGATGAATAATTTGTTATTAAATGCATTATTTAAAAAAATAATATCTTGTATTATTTGTGTTATGTTGTGTTCTTACTTTAATTATAAGAACAGTATGTCAGCAAGTGAAGTACAGTATTAGACTGCACCATTTTATTATCTTGTTTCTGTATTTCCCCAGCCACGGTGTTTCTGTCGACACTCACACCCAAATTCTACGTGGCCCTGACAGGAACCTCATCACTCATATCTGGACTTATTTTGGTGAGTATGCGGTGAAGTAATTATGCTCAGTATATTTTATATTTTCGTGGTGGGGAATGTGCCCAAAAATTTATCAGAAACAAAACTTTCCAGTCTAATTTGAATACATTTAGAATTCATATGACACTCCAAATTATACAGTACAGTATTATGAAAAATAACTGAAGCTCACTCATATTTGTTTCCCCGAAGAGCATTTATTACTGTACAGTATTCCCTTGGTGGTATACAGTACAGTGGTCCCTCGGTTCACGAGCACAATCCGTTCCAGCAGGTTGCTCGTTAACCGAAAATCTCGTTAACCGAAGCCATTGTTTCAATGGGTTTTTGGGTAATTGGTTCCAGCTCACCGAAAATTGCCTAAATTCAACAAAAATGGTAGAAAAGTTCACTTACTCTGAGGTGTGTATGTAGAAGGCTCCTGGAGGATGATGATGATGATGTGCATTTGAAGTGGGAGGTGGAGGAGGAGAAGGGAGAAGAGAAGGAAGTGGAGGTGGAGGAGAAGCATTTTACTGCTTCTTGGAAGGTGAGTCACCTTCCATGAAAATGTCAGGAACCTCTGGACTGACAGATTCTCCACCATGAACATCCTCTCTCCTTCTTGAAGTGGAAGGCTGAGGGATAGCATCTTGTTCCCTCTGCCTTTTACTGAAGAAAGTGTCAATTGTGGTCTGTGGGGCATCTGTCCTCCTCACCATTAACTTATGTTTAAAGAAGGAGACCACTGAGTCCTCAACATGACACAAAGTTAGTTCAGTTTTTTCCACTTCTGGGTGCTTTGAAGCCAGTTCCCTGAACTTCTCCCAGTAGTAAATCACATCTTTCAACTGTTTAGCTGACATATGGTCATCACTTTCAATTTCCTCCTCACCACTGTCAGCCTCTACCTGTAACATCTCATCCAGTTGCTTCAAGTCATCAGGAGTAAGTTCCTCCTCATGATTTTCCGGATTCTCAGGCAGTACTTTTAAAATTCAAATTTAAGGAGGAATAAAGAAGAGATGAACAGGTACATTTTGATAGTTTAATCATTAGCAAATATAGCATGCTTCATTTATCAAAACGAGCAGTTTTAAAGAAAAAGCTGTGAATTCTAGAATTTTATTCTGTGCCTTTTTTATATCATAAATTGTAGACTTTCCAATGTCGTATGTTTCCATTAGAACAGTATTGCTCACACCACGTTCTAGTTTCTTAATTATTTCAAGTTTGTCACTCAATTTCAATGTGTTCTTCTTTCTCTTTACACAACGAAGTTTATCTACTTTAGGAGCCATTATTATGGGCTTGTACAGTACTCTGAAAATGGAAAGAGTAGGACTCAAAATTACATATGTTGTCACAGTTTGAGTGCTCATTTTAAAGTGGCGACCACGTGGTCGCTTGTTGTCGCTGTGCAGCTGTGGCGCTCACGCATGCGCACATACACACAAAAGCCCGCTAAAAAAAAAAGTTTGAGTTTTCGAAAAGTCCGGATTTCTGGCATCCTGATTTTTGGATTTTTACTGTAGTCTAAATCAGGAAGAAAAGATCATGATAGGCATTGGGAAAAGAGAGTTGGTCAAAGAGTTGAGGCAGTAGTCAGAAGAATCAAGAGGATTTGAGACTTTTAGAGAGTAAGAATTAAGATAATTAGACTAAAGAAGTCTCACAAATTGTGTCCTGCAGCATCAAGGATCTTTGTGAGAGTTTTGACAAGTTGTGTAAGTTTAAGTGAGGTGACATAGGACTCCTCCTCCACACCAACTTTGTCAGTACAGTACAAGCAGGGTACATTAGTCATTCTATGTTGTAGATGTTGAGATTACCAAGCATTAAGATTCAATCGTGGGATCTGGTTGAATTTTATTTATTATATGAGTGAGAGTGTCAAGTAGACTGTGCACCAGGGGGACACAGCAGAAGTATTTGACATAGCAATATTGCGAGAGAGAGTTTCTGAGAACAGATTTCAAAGTGAGGAGAGGAAAATTTAGAGATTATGTTGAAAGAAGTCTCAGACTTTGCATAGCAGCAGAAACCACTCTCACTTGTACCATGGAGCATGGAGAGCTGCTATCAGGTAATCATGGCTAACCCATCCAAACACAAAAAATGGTCATAAAAAGTTGATGATAATGGACTGCTACTGAGTATAATTGGCTTGAGTTTTGTTATCTTTAAGAGGAGTATATACTGTAAGTCAGGCATTCCCTGCCAAATCACTGCATTTTGGAACACTTACAGAATATGAAGGTATTTTTATCTTGGTCAGGCAGAGATTTTAGGCAGGATCTTAGGGGATCTTAGGGGAACTGGAAATTCTGCCTTTTCATAGAGTTCCAAATTAAGAAGAATATAATTCTGTAGTAGAAATTTTTTTTAGCTGTAAATAATGAAATTTGTCTTTCAGATATTTGAATGGTGGTACTTTAGAAAATATGGCACTTCATTTATTGAACAAGTTTCCCTCAACCACCTTAGTCCGTGGATTGGTGGGGGAGAAAACAACACGGCAGAGAGCACCACCACCAACTCCAACAACAACAATAACCAGCAGAGTGTGCCAGGTAATTTTGTGCACAGAATGAATGTTTTGGAAGACTGGTTTGTACAGTTTTCAGCTTCATAGGAAGTCATATGATGGATGAAGGTATGTTGTTACTGTAGATTTGATAATAGCTTAATATGTATGCAAACCTCACTATTCCACCAGCAATGATACAGTAACATTATATGACAGTTTTAACACAGCCTTCCTCTCACTACAGGTACTCTCAAGTATTCCATAGCCTATCTTCCTGAATTCTGTCATAACCTCTGCCTTTGTTCCTGAGAACTCTGTACCTGTACTGTACTACCTCTTCAGTGTTTCTATTTCATCTTTCATTCCTGGTTTTGCATGGGATGGATTGTGGGAAACAGAAACAGGAATGAAATTGTACAGAAGATACAGTATGTGCAAGAAAAATGTAGAACACAACATCAATTAATCACAGTACTGTCCTCGTGTCTGAGGGTTAGCGACCACAGTCCTCTAAACGTTTTTGGGCTGTTTTTACCAATCCTCAGAGATCATGCATCCCTCTGGAGATCCATTTTGTAATTTAATTAAACCATTCCAGTCTCTGCCCTGATCCTCCTTCCCTCAACTTTGCCCCATTAGCATTTCTGTTATTATCCCCTCATCCCTAATTATATGACCCAAATATCTCTTAAATCTGTTGAAATAACAATAAGAAACACTACATACATCACATTCTATTCTGTTTCTGCATACAAAACATGTGAAGTTAATTCTGAACCTCTGTATTAATATCAAAACTTCTTATCTATTTATAACTTTTGATTAATTTAATTATATACTGTACAATATTTAGAGATTATTGCCAAAGGGTCTTAGCTGCTTTATTCCTGTACAATTTATAAAATGGTTCAGTAAGTACTTAAGACAAAGTTTTGTAATGTTAAAGTTTATGTATGTCAGAGTTTGCTTTGAAATTATATTGAATTAAGACTGCAGCTTGTATAATTCCAAGTTAGGGAAAATTAACCAGTAAGCATAACCCAGGAAAAGAGCTTATAAGTTTTGCTAAATGATGTTGCTATTTTCAGAATGTAAAGTTTGGCGCAATCCTCTCAACCTTTTTCGTGGATCGGAGTACCAGAGGTTAACATGGTCAACCAAGAAGGAGCCATTGACCTACTATGATATGAATTTATCTGCACAGGACCACCAAACCTTTTTCACCTGTGAAGCTGATGCTGGCAAACCTGAATATGAAAGTAAGTTCTTTATGAAACGTGTCCATTAATGATGACCCTCAAGTAGAAGGATATGTAATTTGCATATTGTACTCCATTTTTTATACATAAGAATAGCAACTTAATGGATATATCTAGATATGCTGATAGAAAAATAGATACCCCTGTACAGTAGACCCTTGTTATGTTCCTCTGGGCATGCTACACTGTACATGTACTCAAAATAATGTACCACATGATTACTAAAATTTTTGTCAAGTGCAAACTATAGCATGATTATATTCAAATTAATCACTATCGTATAAGAATTCCAGCAATGTAAATTATATTCTCCCCGGTCACTTCTGTGACAATTTATAAACAAAAACTCAATCTAAAGGACATAAATAAACAAATAAATACTTCACTAGACCTTCAGTTCCAACTGTCAAATGTGTCACTGTCACCACCCCCATCTTCCCAGCCAGGGTTGGATGGATTTAGGCTTACAGTTTTTATCTTATATAATATCTTAGACTAAAGTTAGGAGAATAGAATTTGCATTGCTAGAATCCTTGCAAGACAGCGAATAATTTGAATATAAACGTCATATATTTTGCACAAGAGATAGAAATTTTAGCCCTTTGTAATAAAATTAATTAAAACTAACATTTGTATGTCTACTGCGAACTATAGCATGTATATATTCAAACTAATCACTATCTTATAAGAATTCCAGCAATGTTAATAATTGTATATTCTCCCAGGCCAGTTCAGTGATATTTTATAAGAGAAAACTTAAAGTCACTCTCAAGGACATAAGTAAATAAGCAATAGACCTTGGCATCAACTGTCAAGCATATCACCTCACCTCCCTCCCTCTCCCCCATCTTCCCAGTCAGTAAACAGACCATTTTGCATCCCTTAATTTTAGCTGTGTTGATTTATGAGTGTTTCTTTTAACATAATACTACAAAAAACAATGTTTTGTTTATTCTAGGAGATGGGGTGAGGTGCATCTGGGTAGACTTTGTCTTTTTAGTATTTTGTGTTTCTCTCAAGTACCAATCTAAATTATTCCATTGAAACAACATTTCGATTTAGTGTGAATTCGGTTTAAAGCGACCTCTCTTGGAATGTTGTATCTCATATCGACGTTCTACTGTATATTTATTGTTACCCCAGAATGATTTCACCAATATTTTATTAATTACGAGAAACTGTATAGACATTATTATATTTACTACAACTTTTCTATTTTCATTTGGTAGTAATGCAGACGGCGTGGAGGGAAAGAAACCCAGAAGTGCGAATTAAATCAGCGCGTTCTGCCTTAGATCTCAACCCAGAGTGTGCCTCAGCATACATTCTCCTAGCAGAAGAAGAATGTACCTCCATTATTGAAGTGGAGAAGAAGCTGAAAATAGCCCTTAAACATGCAGAGACAAACTATCGAAGGTCTCAGATCACGCAACATCAGAGTGGTACCATGGAAGCTCTACACAGTGAGTTGTCTATAATCTTCATTAACCTTTTCTTTACTGCAAATGGTAAATAAAGGTTCTGTTAATGTAGCATAACTATTAGGTATAATTTTGTCAGTATACTGTACAGGCAGTAATGTTTATACTGCACAGTAGTGTTTACAGTTTGTAGTTAAGCCTCCCTGTGTGGTGGGGGGGGACTCCCTGCTAAGTAGAAAGTTCTAGGCTTATTAAATGTCAGCTCACGGGTCCGACTAATTACCCAAATGTAGCCGCAATGAAGTCAAATAATGGTCCTACATGAATAAATCGGACTGCCAATCACTTCTCGACTAGTATTTGGTGTCACAAAGTAAGAAAAAATTGGAAAACGTAATTTAATCTGAGTTAATAGATTGCGTACATGTACCGAGGGAGCGAGTAATTACCCAAATGTACCCAAATGTAGCCGCAATGAAGTCAAATAATGGTCCTACATGAATATATCGGACTGCCAATCACTTCTCGACTGGTATTTGGTGTCACGAAGTCACAAAAAATTGGTAAACTTAATTTAATCTGAGTTAATAGATCGAGTGCATGTACCTAACCTAACCTAACACAACACAACTCAACTCAGATTGAATTAAGTTTACCAATTTTTTGTGACTATGAAACCAAATAATAATCAAGAAGTGATTCACAGCCCGATTTACGCTTGTAGGACCATCATTTGACCTCATTGCGGCTACATTTGGCTACATTTAGGTAATTACTCGCTCCCTCGGTACATGCACGCGATCTATTAAAGTAAGTTTTCCAATTTTTTGTGACTTTGTGACACCAAATACTAGTCGAGAAGTGATTAGCAGTCCGATTTATTCATGTAGGACCATTATTTGACTTCATTGCGGCTACATTTTGCTACATTTGGATACATTTGGGTAATTAGTTGGACCGTCAGCTCACTGCTGAAAGGGTTGATAATACATTGCACAAATATTTGCCAAAGTAATTTATGAAAGGTTACTTATTCTTGTTTTCTTTAATGTTGCAGGACGAGACACAAATGTGTTCATATATATAAAAAGACGGCTGGCTATGTGTGCACGCAAGTTAGGCAAGATGAAGGAAGCAATAAAGATGTTCAGAGATGTAAGTACAATATTAAATATTCTCATTGTTTAACTTACTCTTTGGTACAATTTACTTTTATGTATCAGTAAATATATCGAGTATTGTACTGTATTACCATGTTTGCTTTTGATTTGTGGAAAGTGATCATGTTAAGGGATTTTTTAGTCGCCTTTATAGTTGACGTCCTCTTGAAAGAGTGTTAATTAGGTGAAATATTACGTGATTTTATAACGTGATGGCGGCCCTGAGTGACTTATATTATGCAGCCAGCTAAGTCATAAGTAAACTGAAAAATCAAACACTTCCTTAACTACAAAATGCCTTAATACTGATGTGCAACCAGTTAGCTTATGATGGGCTGACCTTCCAGAACTCCTATCACAGTCACATCATCATCATGCCACACACATTTTATAGAGTACTGCATATTAGCTTGTTTTCAATTAAATGTGAATATTTTCAAATATTAGAAGACATTTATTTGCTTAAAATATCATATTTTTTAGGGTTGGTATCCATTTTTTTCTTCAGGAACCTAACCCTCATTTTCCCATGATAAGTTAAATTTGGTAAAGTTTGATAAATTAATGTTAAGAGCCATTATTGTACCAAACTTCAAACTTAGGATAATGGCAGGATGAATTATCAGTAACTTAGAAAAGCATATTTAACCATAATTTGTGTAGATGTTACACTCACATTCCAATACCCTTTTATGTTTAGCTTTAATATGAAAACTTTAAGTAAGACTTTCTTTAATATACAAATTTTATAAATTGACAGTTAACGAAGGAAGTTCCTCCAATCATGAATGTTCTAAACCTCCATGAAAACCTTCTGGAGGCGCTGCTAGAAGTAGGCGCCTATGCTGATGCGCAAGCAGTCCTTGCTAAATATGATGACATAGCACTTCCAAAATCTGCTACAATATGTTACACAGCAGCACTTTTGAAAGCGCGGACAGTAGCAGATAAGTAAGTATCTATTTCCTTTCTTTCTGTCATTCATCTGTTCATTATTAATTTTCTTTTGCGGCTTACAAGCTTTCATTATCATCATCATTATTAGAGGCTAGTGTAGAAGTGGAATCATGTTGTGTGATGTGTTACCTGAGGTATTCTAGTACCCATAATCGCCATCATTATTCTCACTGTCCTATGGCCATTTTCCATGCTTATGTGGGTTAGCTGTGATTACCTGAAGGCATCTCTCCAGGCTGCATGGTCTCTTGCAGTTTCTTGTCAGAACCTTATCTCCAAGGTCTTTTTTTTTCTTTTAACAACCTCAACCCATGTTATTCTTGGTTTACCCTTGCTCTTCTCCCTTTCATATTCAAACTCGTGCATCACTTAACCTAATTGGTATTTTCCTTTCTCTTCACATGCTCAAACCATCTCAGCCTGCCTCTGTGCAACACCTCGTCACTACTCTCAATACTAAGGCTCACTTAATTCTGAACAGTTTCCCATCTTTCAGTCAGAGTACTGTACTCATTCATCTCACCATCCCCATTTCTTTTTATTATTTTTTTTTTATGTATTTTTTCACCACTTATCAGCGTACTAGCTGTTCGGGCTGACAATCTTTTTGACAAATTTCTTAGTTCCAATAAGTGTTTTGATTTCAAAATGTACAGTACAGTATACAATGGTCCCTCAATTAACGAACGGTCCAATTAAAAAAATTTCTGTTGACGAATTAGCTCCCATAAGGATTTTCAATTCCATTAACGAACAAAACTTCGATTAACGGAAGCCTTACGAGAAACACGCTTGTTGTGTGCATCAGCTGATCGGCTAGTCCGCCAATATAGTACCCCTGTAATTGGTTCTGTTTACATTCGTTTCCAGTGGAGTAAATATCAAGAAAGTTGTGCTCTTGAATATTTTTGCATTTTTTCTATTAAAATTATTGGTCATTCGAATTTAGTTAACATATTGATAATACATACAGTACAGGGAAGAGTTTTTGTGTGCCAATCAACAGATCGAATCACCCACCAACGCTTCTCAGTTTAACTTTGTTTACAGTGGAGTGAACATCCAGTTTGTTGGTCTCTTGAATATTTTTGCATTTTTACATTAAAATTATTGGTCATTCTGAAATTTAGTTCACATATTGATAATATACAGTGCAGAAATTATTATGAAACAGAAAGAAAGCATTAGAACCAATGCTTTCTGTAAAGAATATGGCATTTCATCATCGATTGCCTCTACAATCAGCTCTTTGATATGTAAACAAAGCTGCTGGGAATACGACATACACACCTCAAAGTAAGTTAAAGTATAGTATTCTATTGTTTTTTATTTATTATTATACAGTATACTGTACAGTACGGTACTGTATTTAGTTTATTTTTAATATTTTGTTAATTCTATTACCGGTATACTGTACAGTACTTTGTATGTACTTTTTCTGAGAGTTGGAACCAATTACCCAATATCCCATTGAAATAATAGATTCAGTTAACAAAATTTTTGCTTAACGAACGACTCAGTGGAACCAATTCTGTTCGTTAATTGAGGGACCACTGTATACTCCTGTATAAGCCTATTTCATGTACTGTATGTAATCTGGGCCCTGAGATTTGGGTAAAAAATCATGCATAATTTGATTCAAGCTTTTGAGAAATACAAGGTACAGTAAAAACCCGAAGCACGAATCTTGGAAAAAATTAGTTAAAATTTGAAAACAAGATATTTCGTGTCATTGTTATTGTTGTAGAGTGACTTGGCATGGATCACTTGGTACCCACTGCATCACAACAACACAGCCATGCTGTACTCGGTCTACATGTGGCTACAAATTAGTGCAGGCCTGTTCTCTCATGACATAAATGAGGCACATTATGAGAACAATGACCAACCAAGTATGTTCGGTTAAGGCCCCAAGGAGCAGAAAGTGCCTTACTAGAAAGGATAAACTTGAAGTGTTAGCCATGGTCGACATTAAATGCTCTGTTCCTGAGATAATTCAGAAATTTGGAACAAAATACTGTACAGTATTCTGAAAGCACCTTGTAAGTGTGATCCACTTCAACTCCACTGAAAGTGGGTCCCATAAACACCCATATAATCTTCACTACATAACACACATCGCCAGGCAGCTGTACCCTTGAGATGGCTACACATGTTGCCACTGATTCATGTAATGAAACTGTAAAAGTTGTGAGAAATAAAGGAAATATAATATAAAACTATAAAAAAGAAAAAAGAAATATGAATCGCATGAGTGTGAACAATATTCTGCTCTCCCTAATGTGGTGTCACAGCATTCACAGCATTACCCATAAGATGGTTCAAGAGCAGGAGCTTTATTTTGTATATAAAATATATGCTATTTTATTTTATGTTGTGCTATGTATTGCATATTTTCATTGTTTATTACAGTACCTGTATAGCAATTTTTGCTTATTTTGCATATATAAAATACAGAATAACAAATGTTGGAAGCTATGCCCTTTTATTCATTTTATCACAAAAAAGAAAAAATTTTAACCAACTAATTACTGTATAGCTACAGAGTCCTCATTAGTCATTTATAGTAAGGGCTCTGTCCCTGAAAACCCTTATGATGTGTGATATTGAAAAATGCAACTCTAATTTACCCCCTGGGGAATGTGATCCCAGGTGGGAAGTTTTGGGATGCTTGGGTTGATATTTTCATACAGCAACAGTTACAAATGACTAGAAAAAACATGATGTACTGTACTTATAAATATATTTGAAATATATTATACAATTGAAATATATATAGATATTCTCTATATCACAACTGTTATACCTATCAACCTTCACCCACCACCATGGACCACCCAACATAAGTGAGCCACCACCATTATCTACACCCATTTTTACCACTCTTATGGCATTAAGATAATAAGCATTTAGTAAGAATAATTAAAAGTATTTTCTAAGCTGTGGTAATAATTGATATACCGTACAGTGGGGTTTCATTTTGTGTGGGTATATTGGACAAGCCCAAGAATATTTGTCTTCCAAGTGTTGAGCTCTGGCATACTACTGTACTTACAATGGTTTCAATTGCCAAATCTGACCAAGGAGCTGCTTCTTCATCAGTAGTGGTACCAATCATTTTGTGGGTTTGTGTGTTTCCAATGAACTTAATAGCTTCTTTTTCAGTTTGTAGAAGACCTACAGCACCTGGTGCATCAGGCGAGTGCATGCAGACATACCGGTAGACACTAGATACACTTCCATTAGCATTAGCCAGCCTGGCACTGATGTATTTGTGGTCCAGCTTCTGCCTGTTACGGCCGCCATCAATTTGCAAGCTATATGTTACACAATCTGTAAAGGTTTGTTGAAGTCATTCACGTTCCAACTCTGCAATGATTGCTAGCATTTGACGGTAAAAATTGGGATCATGACAGTGAAGTTCATTAGATGAAGGAGTGTTTGGTACAAATGCCACAACTGGTCCATAATCTCACATCACAGTGAGTACAGCGTGTGATTTGATGCCTCTATTTACAGAGACCTCATAAGCCATGAATGTGCTGATTCAGTCTCTGTCAGACAATCACTGTACACAACCATGGCCATTCTCATTAAAATTTCTACCTGAGATCTTTCGTAGTTGATAAGAGCACGTATCCATGTAGTGATGAACTGCTTTCGTGCCACACCTCCAGTTTATCTTGATCAATTGCAGCCTTGTGTACAGCTGAAGCCATGTGGTCAATTATTCTTGTCAGCTTCTCAGTACCATCTACTTGAACACTACTAGCCTGAGGCACACTATTGTATCTGGAGGCTTTTCTTGTAGCTTCTTCATTGTCCTTGCATATCTCACAAAGAATAACCACTCTTCTGCCCATCTCTTTCAGTTACATGTGATTTCATGTTTGGAAACTTGTTAAGGACACATGCAATGGTTAGAGCTGCATCCTTCTGCATGTTGACTTCTTTGCTTGCACATTTTGGTTCAGTTAAAGAACAGTCATTAACATCAGGGCATCTGTACTACTTCTGGAATGTCCTTTTACTGGCAGAGTGCAGCTGTGTTCAGGACTTGAAGTTGAGATTGTTAGTGATTGAGATACAGCTTCTGAAGATTCACGAGCTCCAGCACTGCTAGTTGATGGTTGTTCTTGTTGTAATTGTGGTACTGTTTTTGTAATAATATGAAAGTATTTTGTTTACAACCTTTTGAGCTCTCTCTGAGATCTAAAAGATTCCCTTAGGACAATTATTTCTTTTCTTTTTTTCACAATATGTATGTAGGATGATGTGTGCATCTATACAGCATCAGTAAAAATAAATGAAGAAAGTTACTTATATCTATCCAAAAATACTAGTTGAAAAACAACAGCTTGGCCCAGTTGCCTGGTTACAGAGACGAGTCTAACCTGGCTACAATGCCGCCAGCGATGTTAACAGATGTAAAGTTGAAAAGAATGTTATCTGTAAATCTTCATTTGTATCAGGTATTTGTAGATTGAAAAATAAATGTTGCAGGTATGGCATTAATAGATTTCAATGCTTGTAAGATTTCAGAATTGGTTACTGCTTAGCTACCTTTGAAAAGTTTGGTGTTTGGCTCTGCTGTACGGACGTTAATCGTCTCAGGTTATCGTCATCAGTGCAGTACAAAGTAGTTATAGACCGACCTTTTATATTTACAATAATTATTTTTGAATTAAGTGAAAATAATAATGATGTGTTTAAGTAAACAGTAATATATTTTTAATTCTGGAGTTGGGTTAAGTAGAATTTAGCCTACTGGAGACAGCAAGGGGGGGGGATTCATTACCTTGCGGGAGACAGCAACTTCACATATAGGATGCAGGCTGATTTTTTTAGCCATTTTTTCAGACAAAAAAGTGTTTAATATGCCGTAAAATACAATACAGTGGGGTATGCTATAACGAATCTAATTGGTTCTAGAACCTTGTTCGTTATAACATTCGTTCGTTATAGGATTAATCCGTTCCAGGCCCCCAAATACATCCACTTAACACTGAAAAATATAATATAAAATTGTAAAAATTGTGAAAAGTGCATAAATATGCATCTAAACCCCTGAAATAAAGAATATCATTAATACTTGTAATAAAAAAACAATAAATTAGTAAAAAAAAAAATTTTTAAATAATGTTCGTTATAGCTCGTTGAACAGGCTTTGTGTGAAATATAACAAAGTCTAGGACTGCTTTTAGTATCCTGGTGGTCCAGTGGTTAGCGTTCCCCGGTCACAGTCATAGGCTTGTGGGCCGTGGGTTCGAATCCTGGCGGGTTGAGGTGTTGATTATATATATATATATATATATATATATATATATATATATATATATATATATATAAATAATAATTTTTTTTTTCTGCCACATATACTGTACATGACAGTAAATGAGAAGTCTGACAATTGGGTAACTGGCTGAGTGACTTTACTGGTGGAGATTAGTCTATTTATCCCCAGTGAGTTAAAGGAATGTAGGTTATATGGTGATTGTATGAAAATTATGACAAATTAGAAGCTTATTTGTAGACTTAATAAGTGAAATAAATATGCTTACTGATAGTAAAAACAAGACTGCATTATTATAGCATAAGGTATAAATAGTAGTTAGGGATTATTAGGGTATTTTTTAAGTCTTCAGTCCCATACCCCATTTTCCCCTTTGTAATTTATAGAGCGATATATTGCAGAAACAACATGCATGCATTCCCTGATTTGCAGAAGGGTTCCATTCCTGAAAACCTTTTGTAAATAGATCTTTGTAAATTGGATAAAATTTCCCCAGACTCCCATTATTAAAACTGATATACATTCTTTTAAAAAACAAAGAAAAAATTTCCCTAAAACATATTATAATGCTACAAAACATGTTTTTAATAAAAAAATGCTGTCCATAATGATTATAAGCCTTTAATAAACATAATAAGTGAAATTCATGCAATATAGTAATAATATTTTACTTACAAGAAATCATAGGGCTTGAAACCTGTGTGAGACTCCGCCAAGATACATGTTATTAATTTGGTAGTGATGCACCAGCAGTAAGTTTGCTGCACTGTACATTACAGTATTGTACTGTAAGTACGTTTTAAGATGTTTTGCTTTCACTCGATTTGATTTTGGATGAGGTTTTATTTGAAGAAGAAATGCTAAACTTAATCCATTTGCATTTTAATCCTTCCACTGATGTCAGATCAAAGTCTGAGATACAGTATTAAACACATCAGCATTGCCACAGTCAAAATATCTTGAGTCAGCATCTTGCCATTTCTTCGCTTAACGATCCTGTTGGCCTTGATAACTAAAACACCTCATGTGTAAATTTTTAGCATAGTTAACATCTCTTAATATAGTAGAGTAGTGTATGTTGTTTTTAGTTTGTCTTTATAAATTTACCAGGTTCTGTATGGGAAGCCCTGAGATGCTTGTGCCAGCACCTCAGCATCTTCGAGTGCTGTGGAAATTTTTTTTTTTTTTTACATTTATTGAAGCCTAGGGCAATTTTCTTCTTCTTAACTTTAGATTTTTGTTGATCTGATTTTTGTTAATCAGGAACACCCAGTGTATATATACAGGCAGGATATGAGACTTGTACTATAAAGAGGAGGAAGAAGACAGCAATTGTTAAAAACTTTTACAAATATTTTAATAACTTATTGGCTATTTCTAGCTTCTTTTAGTAATTTTTTTCCAAATGCTTTATTCCTCTGCTCTAGTTTCATTTCATTTCCTTTTTTCCTTTCTTAGAATGGATCATATCTGGTCCTATCAGGCTATGGGAAGATGAGAACTTGACACAGATAGAGAACTGTACTTTCTCCTCCATATCTGGTCCGATCAGGCTATGGGAAGATGAGAACTTGACACAGATAGAGAACTGTACTTTCTCCTCCATATCCGGTCCTATCAGGCTGGGAAGACAGAAATGACACAGATAGTGAACTGTACTTTTTCCTCCCCTCAAAACCTTCGTGGCTCAGTGTGAGGAGACTTGTATGATTTTTTTTTCTACTACTACTACTTTGTATTCAGACATGAGGTGTTTATGAGGTTCTAACTTCAGTAAACATATTCCCCTCAACAATTGTGGCATTAGGAGGTCAACTTGATAGACAACCACTGTCTCTCACTTGTAAAGGTGCTTGGGGCTCTTGGAGGAGAAGTTTTGTCACTCACTGTACAATCATGTGCACATCCCTATGTAGCCCAAAAAGGATTTCATGTGCTATTTTTTTTCCTATAGTTGAATTTACTCTCCTACATTTATAACCAAAATTAGGATATTCTATTTCTTATAATGTGTGATTTATTTTTTTCTATTATGGTACTGTACCTGCAAATTACATGTACTGTATTACATAGTAAAATCATTGAGCAGAATTACAGTACTGTATATACATATGATTCATGTTGCTGTGTTCTTTGTGCTTCTACAGTAGAAAATTGATTTATATCCAATGCCCATAATGTATAATGTTTCCCTGCAGTAACTTCAGAAACAAGAATCACTGATGAAATTAATTTTGTTCGCAGATTTTCTCCAGATATAGCCAGTAAACGTGGCCTCACAGCAGCAGAAATGGCAGCAGTTGAAGCGATTCATCGGGCTGTAGAATTCAATCCACATGTTCCAAAGGTGATTATTTAGACTTAAAAGAAGTTCATTTTAAATGTACATTACTGTAACCTAATGACTCAACAAAACAGTTTGTTTATAAGTTATGCAGAATTGGTAGATGAGAAATTGTTGATAATGTACTAGTGTAATATTTAGAAGGTGTATAGGACATTGAATTGAAAGAAAGTGAAAACTTGATAATGAACAAAGACAAATGAGAGTCTGAGGGGTAAGACATGTTGGGCACAGTTTTGTCAGCTATACTTTTGTATTAATAAGTCAAATTGCAGAAAGACCGAATTATTTTACACGTGCTTTAAATGTTTTGGTTGAGTAATAAAGGTTAGTTTGCTCTGTACAGTATATTCTAATGCAGCTAATACTCTTAATTATTCATCATTCTGCATTAACCAGTTTTCAGAGAAGAAACTTTGAAGATTGGTGTAAATAAATAACAGCAATGTGCCATTTGTTGTACAAAATTTCACACGATACGACACAGTATAAGTTAACTGAAATTTAGTAATGGAGGCTTACTTCCTCCTCACCCCTCCTATGAAAATTGCCATTCTCCTATAAACTGCTAGATACTTAGCTGTGTTTCGCAGGAAACGGTTATGAATCTGTGTTGCCATTTTACCGAGGCTCAGCCAGTGTTTAGTCATATCTACGTTGAATTGTCTCTCGTGGTAATATAATCATAGCAATACTGAGTTGATTTCTTCTCGTACATCTTGTTGTGATGGTGGGGTAAGCAGCTCTAGCTTCCCAATTCAAGCAACAGCACTCTGTCGAAATGCCTGCCAAAAATGACTTCACTGTGACACATTGTCATGCAAATTAAGTTTATACATTACTTTGACTACTTCAATGTTACATGAAATTAATACTGTAGTTAAAATACAATTTAATATAATATTAGTTTATTCATATAAACTATTTCAACAGGATTAAAGTGATTTATGAGAAAGTTAACTTGTCCCAAACCAGTTAAATCATTGGATGGCCATCTACTCTCATCAGACTAATTATTTTTTACAGTAATAAACCAACACCACTATTTATGTTATTATATTGTACAACTGAATCATGGATTATACAAATTATTCTTAGAAATCCATAACATACCCCTGACAACAAGCTTATTCAATATTGAATACTGAAATTCTGTACAGAAACCCACCATCTGAATATTCGAAGGTGCTTTAGGGCTCTGCGGGGCAAATTGCTATGAGGTTTATTTACAATTTAATAATGTTCTGTGGAATTAAACAAAATAATTTCCACACCATTTGTAAAGTTTTATAATAAAATTTAAATTCTTAATGAGGAGACTATAATTTGATTTACATTTTATTTTGTCACAGTATCTTCTGGAGATGAAGCCCCTCATTCTCCCACCAGAACATATTCTTAAACGAGGGGACTCAGAAGCTATTGCATATGCTTTTTTTCACCTCCCACATTGGAAAAGGGTGAGTACAGTATACATTGTTGCGAAGGCTAAATAAAAATTTGTAGGTGCTTCTGGTTCTCTGACCACCCATCTTTTCTCTGTTACTACAATATGAACTGATCATATTGTATTGTTCATTCTTCAGGAATTTTCATGTAAAATATTTTCATGTGATGGAATAAACTGATGTGGCTGTAGTTATTGTATCTGCTACCAGGAATTAGAATATATATTGGTAAACATGTATGTATTTTGTATTTATTTTTTAGTTTATGCCCATTTCCTTTAATTGCTCCTGAAATATTTTAGTTGTGTTAACATTATTACCTGATCTACTCCTCCAAAACACTCACTCATAGCCCTTTCATTAGTTACGGAATATTTCTGAGGACAGCAAAAATGTACAAGCTATGCTTGAATGAGGGAAGAATTCCAGAAGAATGGCAATGGACATGCTGAACCCCTTCAGTGCAAACATACCACCTACGGAACATTCTACCTCCAACTGTTGACATGCAGACATGCCATATATGGAATGGAAACCTGTTATGTGTTAGAAATGTTGCACTGAGGGTACACTGCAGCCCCAAAATATAAAAAAATTGTTTTAGCATGCTACATTTTCTCATTCCAACATTACTTCCATCATTTCAAAACACTTTTTAACAAATTCTAGCACACCTTGAGTTTGAACAATAGCTTCCGGGATTGCAGTTGTTCGGACTCAAGGTGTGTGATGGTGCAATAGAACTTGGGATGTTGTGAATTGTGCATGGTAGCAGAGATTCGATTGTGCTGCCATCTTTTGAGGACGGGGAGACTTTAGGTTTTCATTGTATTCATTTGATATTAAACCTTAAAAAACATATTTGATGAAACACATTTAAATAATTTAATGGCTCTCTTATACATGAAATCCTAAAAGCTTATTTAATTTTTTTTTTACAATAAAGGTAACAACCTCAAGTTTTTTATTTTTTATTTACGTATCATTTCACTACTTACCAGCTTACTAACCATTTGAGCAGTTGGTCTGTTTTTTGTTTTATATATATATATATATATATATATATATATATATATATAAAACTTGCCACAGAAAGTTGTGACAGTATGAGTTGTGAACTGTTGTAATAGCCTGCTAGAGAATGTTGTGACGGCACCGAGTGTGAACTGTTTTGAGATCAGACTTGACCACCATTGGTGCGTGTTGTGGTACTATTTAGAGCTCATACATGCCCAGCACTTGCCAACAGTTTGTAAAAGAGAAATGACCAATCACCCAACCAGCTAGTGGGCTGACCAGTGGTGAAGAGTGTTAATTTAGAAGTTAAGGGTGTACTGTACTTGGGGACCATAGTACAAAGGATTAATTCATTATTGAATTTATTTGGTTTTTAAATCCCAGTCACAAGTTAGGGGCTGGGGATCTGGATTTTCAGTTCTTAAATTTGTTAACTATACAGTATTGAGTTATTTGATTGTAATTTGGTTATGGATTGGGATTTGAGGATCAATCCTCTTTTATTTTTTCACAGGTGGAAGGGGCACTGAACCTCCTTCACTGCACCTGGGAGGGTACATTCCGAATCATTCCATATCCTCTTGAAAAAGGTCACCTTTTCTACCCCTACCCAACGTGTACAGAGTGTGCTGACCGGGAGCTTTTACCATGTAAGTCTTTTCATTTCTTGAATTTTAATGTACTGTACAGTCTCAATAAAAAATATTTTTTTCTATCTTACTTTTCACCCACACATCATGTAAATTTGACTATGATTTGCAAGGGTGATATTATATATAGTCTTGTGGGATACGGTAGTTATAAAATACAGGGATAAATTGAAAAGTACTTGGTAATAACTCAAGTAACCTAAGTGGTACTGTTTATAGATTGCAGAATATACAGACAGCTGGTGTGCAAGGCAATGTTGTGCAAGCAAAACAACCTTATCTGCAACCACATTTATCCCTCGCTGCCGGTTGTTGCAAGTTACATATCTAATAGCTTGATAAGTCTTAGACCCTCCCACTGGCTTGTTTTGGATAAAGCCTACAAATGTTCATAAAAAAGCTTGTTATTTATTATGCAGCTTTATTAAACCAAAATGTCCAAACCCAGTTTTGTACGGGTAGAACAAAATACTGATAAAAGTTACTTGAGTAAAAATATTGTGACTTGGGAAGAAAGTTATTTAAGAGTACAAGTAACCTTATTTAGAGCTAGTTGAGTATAAAGTACCATATTTTAAAATACTTAAGAACAGAAAGTAAAAACTAACTCTTGAATATAATAAAGTACTTATGTTTATAGATGAAATATAACCAAATACAGAGTATTGATCAGTTGTGCACATTTACAGAGTTATGAAAAAGATTGACAGAATTTTACATGGTTCATTTTGTTTATTCATACACTGGGAACACTATTGGTGAAAGTTCATTTTAGGTTTCAAAGTTCCTGATACAAGTAGTAGCACACTAAACAAATATTAATAAACTACTGAAACTAGAAGTGGTGTGTTCAGGAAAGAGAACATGGTTATGAAATGTTTTAGGCATTAATTTCATGCATTATACTGTATTATAAGTGTATAAGCTGATAGTAATATTTATTTCAGGACTATAATGTATTTTGTTTTATTCTTCAGCGTTGAATATTTATTAGAATTGATAAAAAATTTTCTTTTTCTTTTACAGCGTTCCATGAAGTGTCAGTGTACCCAAAGAAGGAGTTACCATTCTTCATTGTGTTCACAGCTGGGCTCTGTTCATTCACTGCTCTCCTTGCACTTCTCACCCACCAGTATCCTGAACCCATGGGGGCCCTGGCCAAGACGGTCAGTTATCAAGAGTACAGGTAGTTCTGCTATAACGCGATAGTTGTGTTCTTGTAAAACATCGTGTTATAGAAATTCGCGTAATAGAAATAACAGGGCTTATGGAGAAAATAGGGTTAGGTGCAGATTACTCCAAATCGAAAAAAAAATTCGTAGTTAGCCTAACACAAAGGATAGCAGTCTAAATAAATGTTACATTCATATCTAATAATGAAATCATACAGCAAATGTTACACTTTACCTTGAAAAAATATGAATATAACTTGATGGGGGAGAAGGTTGATGTTGAGGAGTCATGAAACATCAAGCTTTTCTTCAAGTGTTATAGCCTTTCTTTTACGATCACCAAAGGAAATGCGATCACCAGAACGCTTCTTTTCCATAGTCACAAAATTGGAGAAACAGTAATCAGAATTCACTGAGGACGCTTAAAAACTTCACACGTGTTTCAAACGGAACGTGTGGAGTAAACAGAGCACGCGGGTCTAAAACGCTATGTATTTTGTTTTTCTCTCTTATTTAAAATTTTACAATTTACATATACTGTACAGGTATACTGTATACATAAATATTACATAAATTATTTCTGCAATTGTTCACAAACAAAACACCTAAATCAATTGAACATGTGATGTCGAACGTGAATTGTAAACACTGCATAACCCCGTGCCAAGCCACAACACTGTACAGTACACTTTAAATGCTACGTATTTAGTTTTTCTCTTTTATTTAAATTTTTACAATTTACATACAGTATATATATATGTAAATTGTAATTTACATATTATTCATATTATGCTACAGCGCCCACAAAACATGAGAAACGTTTGAGTCCCCCAGTAGAGATGTCCGTTCTCTATCCACTTCAGGATGTCTTAGTCCTCCGTTTTCTTTTTGTGTACTCGCTCAGGGACTCAAGTATTTCTGTATATAACACAGGATGATAAGGGAATTTTAAATTATGAGTGAATGAATTTATTATACAGTGATCAATTAACATAATTTTGATGTGTTTAAGTAGTATTCAGGCGCCTTCAGCCTAGTAATGTTACGACATTCGTATCACTCACTCTAAACCACGAATTTCATCCATACAGAGAGAGAGAGAGAGGCCAAGCACTCTGTTTACATCACCCACACATAAATATTACATACTGTATATCTCGGCCTATTTTATAATCGCAGTCATGTACTGAATATTCTATGTAAAAAATATAAATTTTAAATGAATTATTTATAGTGTGGTCGACTTCCTACACAAAGACGGGCTATAAATAGCCTTCTTATCTCCTCTCCATCTATTACCCTCTGTTCTCAGAGAGACGGTCTTGGTAAATAACTTTTGTTTGTTTATTTTCATTGTTTGTGTAATTTATCATGTTGTATCAAAGTAATATTACTAAAATTTGTGTATAGGTAGTAGGCAGCTACCAAACAGGGAGATACTACCGCTCGGGAAGATATTGGAAGCATAATGCACAGTATTGTCTAATGGTAGCCTACTTCCATATGGCATCACGAAAATTGTGACCAAGTCTTAGGTTGCTGATCTATTTTTCTGCCTCATTTACACACAATTGCAGAGTTTCAATTGTTTCTCTTCCTTTGACAACACAACATACATACAATATAATTTTTCTCACCTTTGATCTTTTTTCCTTTTTGCATTTATTTATGGTTGGTTATTTAAAATAAGGCCAATTCACTTAAAGTATTGGCATCAAATTTTACCGGCTGGTGTACACTAGTGACTCACTTAAGCGTCAGTTATTTAACTGGAACTAATGTCAGTGTGAGTAAAATATTTCCATTTACTTGAAATAGATTTGCCGATTTATTTGTTTATTTATTTATTTATAATATACTGTAATATATTAAACACACTGCAAGTATTTTCTTTAATTATATACTTGTTTCGCAAAAAAGGGAGGCTACCATTATACCTGGTAGGTGAAGTTGACCAGACATTTATGGTGATCATTAAGGACCAAACTCCGAATCCATGACGTGACTTCTGTTCATCATTTATATCCTAAATTTACCACTGTCGGTAGTTTCAAGAATTAACGCAGTCATTTACTGAATATTCTTTGTAAAAAAATAAATTTTAAATTAATTATTTATAGGAGATAAGTATTATCATCCGTAAATATACAGATATGCATTACTGACCACCTCCAAACACAAGGACGGCTAAAAATAGCCACAGGCGGTCACAGTCAAGGTCACTTTCCCTTTCTTGTCACTGGCAAATGGGGGGGGGGTGGTGATGATAGCAGCTGTGTTTATTACCGGGGTATATTGTTCTTTTACGGTATGTTAGACAGGTTTATAGTACATTTTTATTATTTTAATATACAGTACCGGTAATCTTCATTTTAATCCAGCTTCCCAAACGTAAGTTTCATTATAAAATAATAAGTGGTAGGACCTTGAGTGGTTTACGATGTTTCCATCACCACTCTTGACACGCTAAACCGCAATATTTAAGAGGTAAGAATTTTATATCTGGTGCCTAAGACGACCCCCTAACTTTGGGCTAATTTTTTTATGGTTCAAATTCCTTCTTATAGGCCGAGATATACGGTAAATTATTTCTGCAATTGTTCACAAGCAAAACACATAAATCAATAGAACATGTGATGCCGAACGTGAACTGTAAACACTGCATAACCCCGCGCCAAGCCACAACAACCGTTCGAGTGGAATCGCGTTAGAGCAAACGCATTCGCGTTTTACAAATATTGTTCCTCTATTCATCAATCGCGTTAGAGCCAATTCGCGTTGTCAAAACACGCGTTATAGCAGAACTCCCTGTACTCCCTTTCCTAGAAAATTGCTATTTTTTAAATTTATTACCTTCATTCTTTCCAGTGAAAATGTGTTTTTTTTTTAATTTTTGCCACTTATCAACATACTTGAAAAGAAACTGAAGTTGGAGTAGAATCCACACATGTGGAATTTATGTTGCAATTCCAGGAATTTTATACCAATATTTTATCTGTGGGGTATTTCGATTAGCCAACATGTGAATTGGTATACATGTACAGTACTGTATCACAATAGTCACTTCTAGCAGAGAATCGAGTTTTGTGTGTTTCTTAATGAAGAAAAAATTACTTGAAATCAAGGTTTATAATACATTTTGTAGCATTTTGGATGGTTAATTGTGGGGGGAAGGTCAACACTCTCTGATTTCTTTATTTATTTGGGCAGGGAAAGACTTATGTTGATTTTAGGAAAAGTCAAGGAATTTCAAAAACTAACACCTGTATCTGTGGCAGTGTTCAACATGCACACTATAAAAGACATAAATAGTTTGGGTTGATGTTATGAAAGATGAATCCATGTGCATGTGCAAGTTATGTATGAATCAATAAAGATGTTTTTTTATGAATAACATATAACAATGGATGGTTGTTTGGTGAGGAAGATTTCCACCAGCATGTTTCAGGATATTAAAAGGTGAGGTACACTAAAGGAGTGCTGATATGAAGTTAACTTGTTTCAGTAAATGTTGCTAAGGTAGTGTCATGGAGACATCTCTTGTGTATAAAGATGCAGGAATAAAGTGGCATAGCTCATTTCATTTGAAAAATAATGTAAAATGAATTAGTTCTAATGAAAGTCTTTAGCCCCCACTTTGCTCTAAATATGTTGAGGGTATATTTCGACTTTTTTTTCCAGTTAGGTGTCTATTTGTACAATAATTATGCAAGCCCACACTGATTAGTCTTCAATTAAAATATGACGCCCAATGTACATGAACCTCTGTCCTGCATGGCAACGAACAGTGATATCACGAACATGACTCAATATGATAGGCAATACAGTACACTATAATGAAGAGACCAGGGTATTTCTTGGTTATTTTTCAATGTAATAACAATTCATTAAATATTAAGATACAGCAACCTTAATTATGATAAGACTACAGTACAGTACAATACAATACAGTACAACTCCTTTTATCCAAACTCATTGGAACCAACGATGGTTCAGATACCTGGAAAGTTTGGATACAGTACAGGTACATGGACGTGCCTCAAGAACACGCAATAATTTAACTGATGGTACAATACAAACACCTTAAATGAACAAACAAACACAAATATTAAAGTTATACAGAATATTGTATTTACTTAAATGTGTACAGAAGTTCCACTAAAGATATTGAAATACTGTGGACAGAGATTGTGGGTAATAGTGCAATTTCAGGTACAGTGAGTTCTGCTATAACGCGTGTTTTGACTACGCGAATTGGCTCTTAACGCCATTTATGAATAGAGGAACGATATTTGTATAACGCGAACGCTTGTTTGCTGTAACGCGATCTTTGCTTACTACTTCTCCAATTTTGTGGTATTAACTGTGAATATGGTAAAGAAGAATATCTCCAAGAAGCGTTCTGGTGATCGCATTCCCGGTGATGATCGTAAAAGAAAGGCTATAACACTTGAAGAGAAGCTCGATGTTATCAACCTCAAAATCACCCTTCTCCCCCATCAAGTTATATTCACATTTTTTCAAGGTAAAGTGTTACATTTACTGTATGATTTCATTATTAGATATGATTGTAACATTTATTTAGACTGTGCTAACCTTTGTGTTAGGCTAACTACTAAATTTTTTTCGATTTCGAGTAGTTATCTGCACCTAACCCTATTTTCTCCACCTGTTATTTCTATTATGCGAATTTCTATAACACAATGTTATACAAGAACACAACTACAGTCGGCCCTTAACATATGCGGGGGTTACGTAACAGAGATACCCGTGCATGTTAAAAATCCGCGTATTTTTGCTGCCCTCACAAAATAAAACCTGGGGCCCCCCATGTCCTTATTTACCGTATATACCTGTGTGTAGTTCGAGTTTTTAAGACCAAATTATTTGGCAAAAAATTGCGGGTCGACCTCTAAACGGGTAATAGTTTTGTTAGGTTGAAAAATATTTACCAGTAACTACCAGTAAACAATGGAAACGATGCACCAACGCACCACCAGCTGTGAGTGTCGGTACAGTTGCCAGGGCAGATCTCTTGCGTCATCATAGCAAGCCCAAAGTAGCCAAATCCATGGTATGGTAGCACAGGATGATGTAAAACATAAAGTATTCATTTATTAAAGTTTATTTATAGATACTGGACATAAACTTTTGTTCATTACATTTGAAACATCAATCTTTGTTAATTAAATTTGAATCAAAAGAAAACTATGATACCGTATTTTCATTAAAATATTACATCACAAGTATATTTTACCTGAACTGTGACTGAATGAATATACCGGTACGTATTCTCAGAAATAAATATGGAAATATAATATTTTTGCTGGAATGACGTACATATTACAGTGGAAAGTGGGATAAAATCATGACGAAAACAATGACTTTCGCTTTCTTTCGTTATTCAAAAGATTTTATCGTAATCGCTCCCTCCGCTCCCTCCTCCACCTCCTCACCGTCACTAATGCCGACAACAAACACAAATGTTTTGTGAATAACTGCACCTCCACTTCCTATGTACAGTACTGAACTGTACTGTGCTGTGCATTTTTACAAACAGCTTTTAAAAAGCTATTAAAAAAAAGAGATAAAAATTTCACTTTACTGTACCATACCTATCCTCGGCGACAGGACGGGGGTCATCGGGCTCATCGTCACTCAATTCCATAACAGGTGGTGAAGTGGGGGCGACGGTGGATTCAGCTGCTTCCTCACTGCCGCCAGTGATTGATGGTGTTAAATCTCTCCTTCGGTGATCAAAGAACATGGTGATGGAGAGTTGTCGTCTCTTTCTTTTCATTTCTTCCATGATGTTTTTGTATGGAGCAAAAACGTCATCCATCCCTCGCATGAATTTCAGGGCACGCACCATGGAGGGGTCCATACTATAGGCCTGGTTTTTCAGTGCCTCAATATTCCTGGTCATCTCCCCCAACTTCTCCAACGTTATTTCTTGGTGCTCTTCCTCTTCCTCTTTCCCTTTTGCTTCCTCTTCCTCTTCCGAGTCTACTAACTCCTGTAGATCCTCCTCAGTCAGCTCAGTGTCGTGCTCTTCAATTAGCTCCCTAATCGCGTCCTCTGCCATGTCTTGGAAGCCTTCAGCAGCCACTTTCCTTGACAGTGCCAGGGTCTTTCTGAATATTTTCATTAAAATCCATCAAAATCACTTTCCTTGTCATCGTCTTAAGCACCAAACAGCTCCTCCCAGTCTTCTCCTTGAACAGGGCTAGAGGGTACGTGTTTTTCGAATCGTTTTCAATTAAAAAAATGTTACAGCACATGTATATTTTACCTAAACTGTGCCTGAATGAATATATTCTCAGAAATAAATAGTAGTTTTGCTGAAACGTGATGTATTTCAATGTAAAATAGGATAAAATACATGACGAAAACAAAAGACTTCACCTAACCTTCCAATGTTCAAGAGATGTTACTCGTTTTTTTAATAGTTTTTGGTTAAAATACTGTTATATTACAATGATATTCTATTCATACTGTGCTTGATATGTTACATTCACGGAAATGTAATATTTTTGCTGAAATGACGTACGTATTACAGTGGAAAGTGGGATAAAATCGTGACGAAAACAATGACTTTCGCTTTCTTTCGTTCAAAGATGTTACCGTAATCGCTTTTCGAATGGTTTTCAGTTAAAAAAACTGTTGCATCACAAGTGAATTAGGATATAATATTATTGTAATACAACAGTTTTTTAACTGAAAACCATTCGAAAAGCGATTACGGTAACATCTTTTGAACGAAAGAAAGCGAGTCATTGCTTTCGTCACTTTTCACTGTAATACGTACGTCATTTCAGCAAAATATTACTTTTCCATATTCTCAGAAATAAATAGTAGTTTTGCTGAAACATAATGCATTTTAATGTAAATTAGGTTAAACTTCATGAAAACAAAAGACTTTACCTAACCTTCCGATGTTCAAGATATGTTACTCGTGTTTTTAGTAGTTTTCGGTTAAAATACTCTTATATTAGTGATATTCTATTCATACTGTGCTTGATATAATACATTCACGGAAATGTAATATTTTTGCAACTACAATGCTGATGTCAACACAAGTGTGGTTACAGCGAGACTGACTGAGTGAGGGAGAGCTATGCGTGTGTGTGTGAGGTTGCGGGAGCGGGCGGTGTCCCGTGTTCGGTGCCGCGCGCGATTTGAATGTACTTCATTGTACAGAATATTCCTCCGGCGGGGCAATCCGCGTATTTGCAAATCCGTGTATGCTAAACCTGCGTATGTTAAGGGCCGACTGTATCGCGTTATAGCAGAACTGACTGTAGTTATACGTAATTTCCTTCATGTATATATTACTCTGCTACATGGACACACAATCCTTCATACAGAATGTGCAAAAAATGAAAAAGATAAATACAGTACAGTATCACAAGGTAAAAACAAAAAGGATTATACATTTCTTACTTTTACGTGTGTGGGACTTAACAGATACTATATAGCGGGGAAGGGGAGCAGCGTGGAGGATCTCAGCTTGCTATCTCGTGCATAGTGACAAGATTGCCAAATGGCAAAGCAGTATTTTTCTTTCTTTTATTTGTTTATTTTTTTTTTTATTCCTCACATTTACAGGTAATGTATAGTATACCTGTATATTATTTTATATACAAAGAATAGCTTCTTCCACACCCAAACCATCCTCTGGGCAATGTGACACAGTTCAGATGCTTAGCCTGACAGTCATCGGAGACAGGTACAGCTTCCCACGCGTGGGTGCGTTCAGATACTGTAGTTGGAATAAATTAAAAATTTTACCAAGTCAGACCAAAGGGGACAAAAGTTTAGATACCTGTAAGATTCAGATAATTGAAATTCGGATAAAAGGAATTGTACGTTATAATAATAGTGTATTATCATATTTTTTGATTTTTGTAATGTAAAAATTATTAGTGTGTGTGTGTGTGTAAAAGTATATTTTTTTTAATGTTTCAGCTCCTGAGTTGGTGGTATGTTCCCATCCAATATGTATTAGAAAAGCTAGAAGCTGTATTGCCTTCAAACCTCCTACACCATCTATCACGGATCTGACCTTCATACCTCAGGTACTCTTAGAATTCCAATTTTATAATTTTCAATCCTTTTTGTTCAAGGTGTAGATTATGAAGTGAAAATGAGCTGGAGTGTCTCGTGAAAATTGCTGGGAATTTCTAGTTAATTTCAGCTATTGTAATATCTAATGTTGAACTGCAGTAGTAAAATTACAAATTTACTAAAACAATCTATAAATCTAAATCTAAATTATACTGTATATAAAAATATACATTGGTAACCCTGCATTCATGAGGTACCATGTGTCGATTACTCGGAACATTTTCTGTCTTACCCATAGTAAATAATATGTTTGAAATACAGGGGGCCCCCCAAATTCGCGGATTTTTATTTTGCGGTCCTCTATTATTCGTGGGTGACACTGGTTGTACCCAAGAATGTCTGTGGGTAGTTTTAAAGTTGCCGGCATTTTTGCGGCTGGGATGGGGAGCCATTCGTTCTATAGACAGTACTTTCCTTTATTTATATTGTAAATATGTGTGCGTGTAGACATGCACACACAGTACAAATAAATAATATTGGGAAAATTCTCTCACAAATAATCAGAAACAAATTTATTAAAAATGTGACAGTCTATTCTCAAGTCCGTGCTCTATTAATAAAGTACTGTAATAGAGCACGGACTTGAGGGTAGACTCACATTTTTAATAAATTTGTCTCTGATTATTTGTGAGAGGATTTTCCAATTATTTTTTATTTGTACCCAGTATGTGTTTTGTGTGTGTGTTTGTGTGTGTGTGTGTGTGTGTGTGTGTGTGTGTGTGTCTACACACACACACAAACATATTTACAATACAGGTAAAGGAAATTACTGTCTCTAGAACTAATGGCTCCCTGTCCCAGCCACAAAAATGCCGGCAACTTTAAAACTACCCACAGACATTCTTGGGTACATCCAGGGTGTCATCCGCGAATAACCGAGAACCGAGAAAAATCCGCAAACTTGGGGGGCTCCCTGTACTGTAATGTTTAATAATAGGTAAACCAATTCACATGAATTTACTTCGGTATATACAGTAGTTTACCCTAAGTAATGCATGTGTATTTTTTTGACATAATTAATATGATGTTCGGTTACCAAATGTAGTAGGATCAGTATGCCCCAGAGCCATGCATCCCAACCCACCCGGGACATCACGAGTGGCATGTAGCATTTCGGAAGTCATCAGATCAATCCTGGCAGATACTTTTTTGAAATTTTGCATTTTAAGGCCTCTTAAGACTTGTTTAGTTTAACTAGTTGAGAGAACCAAGTGATGTCTGACCTCCTTTTGAAATTAGGAAAATTTTCAGTTAAAGTAGAGAGAAAGTATAGGAGAAAATCATGTGATACAGTATATCAATTATGTTCAAATTTAATGGTACAGGTATTAAATTTATTTTTCAGTTTAATAGAAGCAGCTGGGAACAGCATTCTTCATCACCGACTTTCGATATCTACACATCCTGCGTCATATATTTTTGTTTAAGTATTTGTCAAAACTAGCTACTGTGAGCGTTGGTTATTGTGATAAAACTACTACCTGCTTCTGAAGCTTTTAGTTTTAATGATGTAAACCTCACGTTCCAGTTGCTTATTTTGTCACACCAGTGTTGTGATTTGCTGTTTAGAGCCATAAATAGTACTTAAATGATGCTTGTGTTGATTTTTTTTTCTATAGGGAGGAAAAACATAAATGGCTCAAACCGGAGATGTTGGTGGCCAATGCACAAAACAATCACATAAATTTATTTTAGGAATACCTGTATTAATAAAATGACAAGGTTTGAATGGAAGTTTATAAATAAAGACTTATTTAGTAGTTTGTGCACCAATACCTCAGTTATTGGGGACCTGCACAACCACTGGGATCAGATAAATCCAGTACATCAGATCATAATATTATGTGTACTTCATGGTTTATATACTGTACCTGTAATCCATGATTTATGAAAAGTTCTGATATTCTGGGTAATCAAGATTTTAAATGAGTAATTTCCAAATTTTTGAGTTACTGGCGTGATATACAAGTGGCCTCAACCAAGATGGAAACATTAAATAGTTGATTTTTTTTTCCAGTTAGTTTTTGAATAAGGAGTCATTTCATTGTCATTGCTGTGTTTGGTATATGCACTGTGTCAAATAATACCAGAACTACTAGGAACAGTGTTCATATTTCAGTGATAAATTTTAATAAAAGAACAGCTTGGAAACATAATATACAGGTACACTGTACACTTTGTGTATTTATGTAGACTTATGTATAGAACACTCCAAGATAGAAATGTGCAAATATTTGTTTAACTGGATTCTGAGTACAAACAAGACTTAAGGATTAAGCAGGGATATTGAGTTTATGTGATGTAATTTATATGCTTTTTTTTCTGATTGTTACTCAACAGTTTGGTAAATATGTTTTTGTTTTAAATTATGAAAGAAGAAGCAAACATGTTAATGATGGTTGCATTGCTTATGTTCTCATTTTATTAAGTTCAGGTACTGTTCCTTTCCCTCTGGCTAAAATGCATGTATGCAAATACCTGTATAACATACTACCTGGTAATTGTAAATGAAGATTTCCACTCACTCTTTATCTAATACTTACTTAAAAAGGTTTGCGAAACTTGAGATTGTATACTTTTGGTGGTATATTTTTTTAAGTTATTTTCATGACAGAATCTTTTTAAACTAATGGTGCCTCAAGATTTATGTTGTCCAATATCTTGTGTATATTACTTAGGTCAGATCCAGATGGCCTGCAGTAATGAATTTCCACTCCTCCATGATTTATGAAGCTTCCAAGATCTGAAGGTTGATATACACTAATATCTTGATTATCTGGGATACAACTAAACAGACTGTTGAATGTCTCAGATATCAGATTCCGGATAGATGACTTAAGATATTGTAATTAATGACATGCTGAATTACATATATAAAATGATGTGATATTAAAGATTTGATGTCTCTGATACTCAATAATCTTGTTTGAGACCCCTCACAAATGAAGTATTGGTGTACATTTTTTTGTGACAATTGTGCATCTTGTACATTAAACTGACAAATTATTTAATGAATTTAGTTTTGCATTATACAGCGTCTCATTACCCTTGGCAACAGAAATTTGTTGGAGTTTCTTTTAGTATGATGATGTAGGTAAGCAGGCAGCATTACACTTTATTTAACCCTTTTGACGCTATGTTCGATAAAAGTCAAAGGAATTTAATGGGTGTATGTGGTTTGTCTAACCAAGTCCTGGTATGAGGTCGACGACCCTGATGGTTGATCTTACACTCTGGACGTGGGAGTGCTTTTTTAAAGGATTGTTTAGTGCTATGCATGTAGTACAACTTGACGGTAATGGTGTATTCTGGGCCAATGTTGTTGAGCACGATTACAGGTATGGTGGAGAAAGCACACATGACTCAGGAACCCAGAAGTAAAGTAATAAGAATAAGCGGGTGAAGCATGAGTGATTTTTTTCGGTTCACACAAAATTTTGGGTTTCATGAATGTGCATGTTGATTTGGGCTCTGATGATATCAGGCCATTATGACTGACCCATCTTCTTGTGCAGGTTATTTAGTTGCAATCATTGGTTTTTGTGCAGTATAGTAAATTAAGAACTAATATTTTTCTAGTGGTTAATATAATTTTGTGGTTTTTTTTAGACCACTATGCTACGTTATGGATATGTGTGCTGAGGAGCTGCTGAGTTAAGGATCTGCTGGGTTGTGTTCTAATGGGAGTGTCAGTGGGCTTAAACTCAGGGAAGTGTGACCCTTGACCTCAGCAACTCCTGAGCTGGTGAGCTCACTTTGGGACCAGGTTCATATTTTTCTATGCTGATGATAGGAGTCTCTAGTGATGAATGATGTGTTGAGTAGTTAATCCAAATGAATTATTGTGCTATTAATAGTGGTGTCTAGCGATGTAAGATATGTTGAGGGATTAATCCAAATGAATTGTTGCCTCTTGTCCAATTAATATATTTTTTAGTGCTGTCGAGTAAATGCAAGTACAGTATCATGTCATTACCAGCGCGTCTCTTTAACTCCAATCTCAGGAACACCAGTCCAGGTCATGGTAAATATCATATTAATTTTGTTTTTGCTGATTCGGTATTCTGAGGGGCCCTTCCACTGCATTACCATCCATTTATATAAACCCCAATAGGAATTCCGATCAGTTACATTTATATAATAAATAAAAAGCTATGGTACTTTTATGCACTGCATTTCTTTTTTAATGATCATCTCAGGGAGTAGTGACCCTGCCTTGCCAGCTATTCCCACCCCGTGGGAGCATCCAGCCATAAAACTTTGTTTCAATATACCTTATGGCAACTGATTTACCAGAGCTGTGTGCATCCCCTAATCTCTGCTGCATTTTCTGGACTAGCATGCTGGTGTTGGAGATAAGGTGATGGTCAGAAGAGCGAAGAGGAAAATAAACTTAAGAAAGTAATACTGTAATAATAAAATAATCAATTTGGTGTTCAGTGTGCTCAACAGTGTCAGAGATCCGTTAAGAGTGGTGACCAGTTATGCCAAAAGTTACATCACTGGCCTTTCTTGCTTGGTAACAATGATCACATTATTTTTTGTCAAGTACGTATTGTAAATTGATAGTTCAGAGTCTAAGGCTCTCGTCTTCAGAAACTACTCAAGACCTCTTACAAACACCACCTGTGTAGCCAGACAGTTAAAATACTAGAACAATGCAGAACAGCTTTGATGAAACTGGATGACACCCTTACAGTACTGTACTGTTCAAAATTGTATTATAGAACTCCAATACATACAGTAGTAGTATAATGATTGATTTTTTTTATGCTGATTAAACAACATAGCTTCAAATAATAAAACATTTTCAGGATTTGTATAAATATTTATTTATATTATAAATAATTAACAACAATCAATGTAGAAAACAGGATATAACAGACATATGTCATTTACATTAATAAATAAGAAGAAAATGATGGAGGTTCGTGTGTACACCATCACTCACTCCTGATCAACACTGCAGATTCTAATTATTTAAGATAATGGATGGAGGTGAGACATCCTCCAACGTGTATGTGTGTGTGTGTGTGTAACATGAACGAAGATAGAATGTGTGTGTGTGTGTTTGTGTGTAAGGATGAATGAAGATAGAAGTGTGTGTGTGTAGCTTGAGTGAAGATAGAAGTGTGTATATGTGTAGCATGAATGAAGAGTGCTGTTTGTGTGTAGCATGAGTGAAAAGAGAACTGTGTGTGTGTGTAGCATGAGGGAAGTGTATGTGTATTGTGAGTTAGGAGTGTACAGTACTGTATGTGTTCAAATAAATCACTGTCGATATTCTTGATCAAATTTAAACTGAAAAAATACTTCCCAATAATAAAAAAATAAAACAAATAAATACTTCCAACTCTGTTAATCATAGACAACAGTGATAGTCATATTGTTGATGACTGAACATTATAAAAGTCTTAGTCTCAGGTTCCTTGTCTTTTGTTTTGCAAAATTATTATTTTTTCTTGGTTTGTTTAGGTTGGTTAGGCCTGCTCACCACAATACAGTATAAGTTTAACATTTACTTTTATTTTCTTCAATGATGGTGACAGTCCTCACTGACTACCTCTTGGAAAATTGAGACTTACTCTGAAGGTGTGGTGACAGGTGGTGAGTCATCACTGGTAATATTGTCTTGTGGACTTGAGGTGATATTGAGTTCCTGGTCTAGGGCATCCTGCAAGGTGGGGACTCTGAGGTTGGCTGGGCGTGGGGGCATATCCAGGCGGTTGTTAATGACATTGCTGATCCACAAGACATAGCGACTCACCTGTTAACACAACAACTACAGTCACACATCCTCAGGTGGCATTATTTATGCCTGTCATAATTATGCTCTTTGGTATACAAATGTAGATTAATAAATTAGATAGTACTGAGGAACTCTTAAGACAAAGTTCTAATTACTCAACTTGTAGATCTTAAAATTTGAGAGAAACCTTCAATATCCAATTTCTGTACAGTATTTAATTACAAATTACCTGTGTTACTTTATTACATAAAAGAATCAGAAAACTGATATTATTTAATGGTACAGGGATATAATAAATTTATATTATTTTACTAGTTAAGGGTAAGGAAATTTACTGCATTTATTTTTATTATCAATTAATGTAAAGTAAAATTTTGAAATTTTATAGGAAATTTTCATGATTCTAAGTTACTTACTACTTAAATGAAAAATAAAGAGCAATTAATGCAGAGGTGAAAATTATCCATGTTAAGCCATTGAAAATTTGCTTTGGTTGAAGGAATATGATCCTGAAATACAATTTTTGGGAGGTGTGTAATGTGACACTTTCCAACACACACTGCATCCAAACATCCCCTGTGATGTGTGTACTATGACTCACTAGCACACACTACCTCCAAAAATCCCCTGTGATGTGTGTATTATGATTTGTTGGCACACATCTCCAAATATCCCTTGTGACGTGACAGCTTTATGGAAATACTACTGTGAGATGGTGATGCATCCTTTAAGAAAGTTACCCAGGACATGATGAACACCTAGGAAAAATGTTTAGATTGAGCCTTTTATGCGAAAATATTGTGTTAAAACTAAAGGTGTAATGTTGTATGCTGCCTGTCCTTACTGTGTTCTCTCTGTCTACAGTTACTGAGAGACAGAGATACCCTGTATATTATTAAAACTTCAAGAAGTTCATGTCCCCCATTAGCAACACTTGGTAAAAAAAACCATCAGCCTTGGTTTGAATACTGATGGAGCAAGCTGCTGCAGAGAGAGAGAGGTGTACTAAACATATCTTAAGGTTGTGAATGCGTAGTGCTAACTCAGTACAGTACAGGACTATATATACAGATTGTTTAATACGATTTAGTACAAAAGTGTGATACTAATGAATATAAGCCGGTATGGGAGGTGTGGGGTAGTATGAAGCAAGGAGGGGGTTGTGTGAGGTAGGATGAGGGAGTGTGAGGTAGAATGAAGAGTGTGTGATCCTGTGAGGTAAGATGAGGAAGTGTGAAGAAGAGTGTGAGGGAGTGTGTGAGGTAGGATGAGGGAGTGTGTGAGTTAGGGCATGTGTGTGTGTGTGAAGTAGGATGAAAGAGTGTGCGAGGTAGGATAAGGAAGTGTGTGAGGTAGGATGAGGAAGTGTGTGAGTTAGGATGAGGGAGTGTGTGCGGTAGGGTGGGAGAGTGTGTGTGAAGTAGGGTGAGGGAGTGTGTGAGGTAGGGCAAGGAAGAGCATCAGACGAGAGCGAGTGGTAGTTGGGCCTCACCTCGGTATAGACACCGGGTACATTGGGTCTGGCACAGCCGATACCCCAGGATACGATGCCAGCCATGAAGTAGCGGTTGTCAGCTCCACGACACACGAAGGGTCCGCCAGAGTCTCCCTGTAAGGTGACCATATTGTTACTTTTAACCTTGTCGAGAGATATTTACCTAAGTCCAGGCATCTCTTCTGTCTGAAACTTTTATATCAAGAATTTCCCTTGTTTGAATGAGGAGGAAAATATACTGTATTGTGTCACTGCTGTTGTTACATGTGCCACAAACCTATTTTATTGGTGAAATAATTATACTGTAGTACTGTAACAATAAGAGTAATTTTTTTTGTATAAGAGATGGTAGATAGTAAGTGGTATATAAAAGTTTTGTAAGCAAATAGATCAATTAACAGAATGTCTTAGAATGAGTCCAGCCACTTTTATCCCACGTTACCTGACCCCATAATTACTTCCTGGCATCTTCACTTAATATTTATTTAATTACAGTACAGTATTGTTGTAGTACATCTAGCATAGCCTCATGTTGTCTGAGGCTATATGGTACACCTGTCACACAAATGATAATTCACTGCTACTTAGTTTACCCTACCATACCATACATTGTATGGTGCCGGGTCTATTTTTCCTTTATTCACTGATTATGTAGACCTCCAGTTCATTCTTAATTCACTAACGACGTTAAAAATAATGTACTGTACCTCATTCCTATGATGAATTACCCAAGAGGATTCTTTTATGTGCAAACCTCAGTACCAAAGTGAGTTACCTGACAGGCGTCCTGGCCACCGAAGCCATATCCTGCACACATCATGGTCTCAGCGATGGGTCCAGTATAGCCGATGTTGCGGTAGCTATCCTTACATTTGGTGTCACTGATGATGGGCACCACCACCTTCTGCAGGATGTCGGACGACGAACCGCCTTCTGCTGTTTTCCCCCACCCAGTCACCACACAGTTACCTGTTTGAACAACAGACACGTGTTAGCAGGAGAGGGAAGTAACAGTCATATGTTAGGAGAGAGGGATGTGGCATTCACATATTTGCAGGAGAGGGATGTGATAGTCATATGTTAGCAGGAGAGAGGGATGTGACAGTCATATGTTAGCAGGAGGGAGGGATTGGACAGTCAGAAGTTAGCTGGAGAGAGGGACATGACCGTCATGTGATTTAGCAGGAAAGAGGGACATGCCAGTCACATGTTAGCAGGAGAGAGAAACGTGAGTCACTTGTTAGCAAGAGAGAGGGACGTGGAGAGAAGAATTTGTGAGAACAATACATGAAAGTTACACTGTAATCTGAGCATAGGTATTTTAAAACACTTTATGCATATCTGATAGTAAAAACTTGAGTTAACAGTGTTATTTACTCAATATTCTTGCCGTACAAGAAAAATATTTTTGTGAAAACGTGAATTCGTTTACTTTTTGTTTACAGGGTAAACAGACATTATCCCTAAATTTAACTCATGATCACAAAATGGTTCTAAATCCCATGGCAGGGGCGTCACATACCTGTGAAGTTGGTCATGGGGAAGGGTAAACAGATGGGTGAGACAGTCATGCCATCTAGTTGGAGGGGCACCTTCAGCTTGAGGAGGGCGATGTCATGTTCCTGGGTGCCGGTGTTGTAGGCCTGATGTTCCACGATACGCTCAATGTAACGTGTCTGCTCCGTGCCTGTCACAACATGATGGTGATAAGTAGTAGTGTGTTCCTACAGCTTTGCTTCACTCACTCACTCATTTAATGTGGGACGTCAACTATACTGTAGTCACCACTTTTGCGATATTTATCGTGTCTAACTTTCTATGGTCCAACACATACTATTTTCATATATATATATATATATATATATATATATATATATATATATATATATATATATATATATATATATATATATATATATATATATTTCATGTAGATCCACAATGAAAACGTGGATAAGATAAATCTTGATAAAATCACACGGAAAAGGGAAACAACGGAGCACTTTAGGTGATTGAAAAACATTAAGTGAATCTCTTGTATCTCGAACAAAAGAACAGTAAGACCTTCTTAATCAGGATTAATGGGGGGAAATCCAGTCCATATTAAGCGAATTTCCGGATAAAATGGTTTCCAGAGGGGGTTTATTTAATCCAGAAAAAGTCTGGATTAACCAAGAAAAATCCGGATTGTCAACTGGTGCACACGAACGCCAACCCCAGCTGCTTTGTCTTCAAGTCAGTCACACTGCTAGTCTGCTACTGCAACGTCCATGTGTGTGCTTAACTCCTGTGGACTTTGTGGACGAATTACCATGACTTCCAAAGGCAAGTCACTTTCAAAAGGAAATCAGAAGAGGACAAGCTAAGCAATTCTGGAAGATCATGAGAAAGGTGGGTAATTATTGACGACTAACCTGCCGCCCCCAAAAAAAAGATAACTGTGTTTTATAGTGGACGCAATCGTAGTTTGTGCAAATGTGTAAAAAAGGTGGTTATTTATAATTTTAATCTAACCTATCCTAATCTAACATAACGTTAACTTAACATCTGCCGTGGGCGTTCTTACTGTCACTGAACGGGGGAGAGGCTAGCCGTGGCGTTGGGTAAGTGATGAATGATTGTGCCGTGGTCTCGGTGAATGTGGCAGAACAAGTAGCGAGCAAAGTAGTGCTTGAAGTGGTAATCCCTGTTGCCAGCCCTGAGAACACAGGACTTTATATCCTTCCACAGCCGTTCTACGGTGTTCGTGTGCACGCCAGTACAATAAAAGGGTCAACAAAGAGTAAAGGTGTAGAAAACGGCTACCACCAGAAGGAATTGTCCGAATTGATTGAAGTTTTTTCTACACACTAATATCATGATATTAAACACAAAAATGGAAACGACAATGCATAGAACCTGACCTAACATACCCAACCTTTGGGTATGTTAGGTCAGGTTCTATTAGGTTCTGTGCATTATCGTGTTAATTTATGTGTTAAACAACTTACCTTAATGTTGAAATTGATATAAATCAGCAATGGCGAGGAGGAATTCGTGGAAGCGTTCACATCATTTAGGAAACGTCTCTTGAGAGATTCAGCGAGGTAAACAACAAAAGTGGCTCCGGGAGGATAATTGTGAAGCGGGATAGAGTAAATAAAAAAAATACTTAAAATCATAATAGAAAGTTGTCGTTTCCTTTAGTATACTTAAAATTATCAAAACAATAAGTACAGCAAAAACAAAGAAAATCAACAAACAACTTCTGGTGGTAGCCGCTATCTACACCTTTACTTAGACTTTAGCAAAGCATTTGACAGAGTACCGCATCAGAGGCTTCTGAGAAAAATTAAGGCTCGTGGTATCGAGGGGAAAGTTTTAAATTGGATAAAATCATGGCTCACCAATAGAACGCAGAGGGTCAGCGTAGATGGTGTTAAATCTGAGTGGGGCCGTGTAACCAGTGGGGTTCCCCAGGGGTCAGTACTAGGCCCACTCTTGTTCATAATCTACATAAACGATCTAGATACTGGGATCAGCAGTGATAAAAGCAAGTTTGCGGATGACACCAAAATAGGGCGGCAAATTAATTCAGGGCAGGATGCAAATGCATTACAGGAGGATCTAAATAAACTGCAGGGGTGGTCTGAAAAATCGCAAATGAAATTCAACACCAGCAAGTGCAGCGTACTTAATATTGGAAGAACAAATACTTATAATGTATACAGCCTTAACAACATCAACCTAGAGAAGTCGACTTGTGAAAGAGACCTAGGGGTACTTGTAAGCCCGGACGTACGGCCTAGAAAACAGTGCGTTAATGTTCGAAATAAGGCAAACAGAGTATTGGGTTTTATATCTAGAAGTGTAAGTAACAAGAGTGCAGAGGTCTTATTGCAACTATATCTTGCGCTAGTCAGGCCGCACCTCGATTATGCGGTTCCGTTCTGGTGCCCCTATTATAGAATGGATATAAATTCACTAGAGTCGGTGCAGCGAAGAATGACAAAAATGATTCCGGGACTTCGAAACCTTCCATATCAGGATAGGTTAAAGAAACTTAACTTGCATTCCCTAGAAATACGAAGAGTGCGGGGAGATATGATAGAAGTATTTAAGTGGGTGAAAGGAATCAATAAAGGGGATATAGATAAAGTTCTTATAATATCCGAGCAGGATAGGACTCGGAGCAACGGATTCAAGTTGGATAAGTTTAGGTTTAGGAGGAAAATAGGAAGAAACTGGTTCACAAATAGGGTGGTGGACGAGTGGAACAAGCTTAGCAACTTTGTAGTAAGCGCGGGAACTCTGGAAAGTTTCAAAAGGAGGCTAGATAGATTCATGGATGATAGAGAGTGGTAGTAACTCTCGACAGGAGCTGCCACGCACAGGCCAACCGGCCTATTGCAGACTCCTTATTTTCTTATGTTCTTATGTTACCCATCTGAGTTTTGGCGTTAAAGGTTTCGTGGTTGAAACCCAAGGACCCTAAGTTGCAGTAGGCTTTCCAGCGATCACTATGACTGTGGTGCCTGGCTGGATGATTTTCTGGCACAGAGGAACTGACTAGGGTGTCGGCGTCTTTTTTTTTTCCCGGTACAACGAACGTAAATAATTTGAAGAAAAACATCTTTCCACAGTGCAGATCTGCAGTACTATTTAAGTAAACAATACTGCAGAGTATTATACATAATTTAACCAGGTGCTATACACATTAACTTACCACCAACATTAAATAAATCTGTATAGTGCGATAAGCTCACGAAGGACAGTTACTATTTACACATACACACAAGCTTCCACCGTCACAAGCGGAACAATTGCCGAGTCTCACCTTCCTTGTGCTTCAGCTGGTGGTCGCCGGCCACAACCAACAGGTCCTTGGGCTTGTACTGGTGGGTACAGTGGGCGGCGGTAAGTACCCAGTACTCGTCGATCACGGTGGCCCCACACACATGGTAGGTGTACCAGTTATAGCGCCACTGTAGCGACACTTGCCACGGGAACTCATCTGTGGGGAAGAGGTACACCCGGTCACCTCCATGACAACCTGCACCCTACACTTCCAGTTGCTTGTAACGCAGCCTTCCTATGTGTTTTGGTGTTCATATTAACAAGTTACTTTGTTAGACTGAAATTTATTAACTTTCGTCATTGATGAACTCAGTTATTTACTGAATAAGTTAGAGGGGGTTTCAGATTATTATTTCTACGGTATTTTTGTCAGATTGTGTAAATAATACACACATATAAAATTAAACACGAGAAAAAAATACCAGAGAAACGGGGGGTTTACTTACGCGATTCTGCGGGGGATCCTCCCACGATCCTGGTGATGATGTCCGGCACCGAGCTGTGACGCATACCACACACATCGTTATTCCGCACCTCGCCAGAGGTGGCCAACCTGTGGGCAGATCAAGGTTAGGAGCAAACTGCCTGCCTCCAACACGAACCACTGGAGCCCTTTACGGACTAGGTGTGGTGTCCCAACTCAACACTACCAAGGTGTTGTATGTGGTGTAGGCTCCCAATACAACACCATCAATGTTTTGTATGTTGTGTAGACTCCCAACACAATACCAAAGTCCTATATATATAGTGTGGTCACGGAATGCAACATCACAAGAGGGAAGTCGCCTCCACTTCCCTGAGTCACATTACACGCAGGCTGGCTCAAAGAAAACATCATGACTGATAATTATGACTTCAGGAAAATATCCAGAGTCTGTATTGATAACAAATAAACCGCGTGAGAATAGGCTCATGAAACCAGAGAATAACAAAACTTCATAGAACACTGATAGTTAAGGTACAGTGTAAAACACATACAAATCCAGTTGTTTACATTAAATAGAGCACACAATTATAATATAAGTTAATGTAGACAAATATCGGACGACGTTACAGGGTTGTCCATAATATGATCCTTCCTGCTTATTGCAAAATACTGTACCTTATGCTGCTTAACTGTACCGTAATTAAAGCACTGTAGTTGAACCGTCGAGATGTTAAAAAAAACCTTTTCGGGCAATATTAAAATTTAAATATCTATGCTAAAGTTCTAAACGGTCATCATGCAATTTTCAACATGGGCGAGGATGATGAGAAAGATCGATAAGAATTATTGCTTCATTAACAGTGAAGGCTTCCAGTACACGTCACCACATAGGCCACCGTGTTGTAGTTATAACATCGAGGTTGATATATTGTATTGTACCATCACCACTATGATAATACCTACACCACTCCACCTTATGGATCAGGTCCCGGGGAACTTTCTCTCCTACCATATAGAGATAGATGCTGCATCATACACTTGAGTTAACACCCTAGAGTTCTGTGGATGATACATTATGCTGGTAAGCTAAAAACAAGTTACCCTGTAGAGTGAGGACCAATCTAGCGCCACTAACCTGAGGATGAGACGGGTGGGTGCCGGGAAGGAGGACATCAAGAGTGATACGAGGGGAAGGGGTGAGGAGAAGTGAGTTAGTATGGAAGGCTCTGATAGGAAGACCAAGTGTGAAATAAACTCTTGTGAGGTTTGAAGGCAGGAAACAACGCCAGCCTCGCTTGGTGTTAAGAGGTAGGAGGCGGTTGTTTTATTAGAGTGGCAGTCGTAAGGGAACATATTGCAATTAGTATGTAATTTAGGTTTGTGATTTACATGTAACAATTATTAGAGATTTTAATGGAAATATATCAGTCAGGCAAGGTGATTTACTTTGTAGTGGTCTGGTCTGGTACATAAAATTTTTTAGTTGTAGAGGCGACTCCCTGAAATCATTTCCACTGGTGTCAGAGTAATAACAAGTTGGCTGTAGTAAATTTGAGTAAGAGTTCCAATTCAGAAATGGATATTTATAAAGGTATTCGCATAGTTAAGATCGTAATGCATGTCAAAGGCCTGGTACTGTAGAGCTCCATTATGACCGTTGTAGTATCTTTCCTGCCTCATCTTCACCCCTCTCTCTAACTCTTACCCCTCACTCTAACCCTCACCCCTCACTCTAACCCTCACCCCTCACTCTAACCCTCACCCCTCACTCTAACCCTCACCCCTCACTCTAAACCTCACCCCTCACTCTAACCCTCACCTCTCACTTTAACCCCCAGTGGTTACCATCTAGAAGTTAATTAAAAAAATTGTCATTCGTGAAATATAATCTTGAAGAAAGAAATCTTTATAAGTACAGAAATAAGTAATTTAACCACAAAAACTTCAACTTCTGGACACGTGTGGTTGACAAGGAAACATGTTTACATGTCCACGTTCATATGACCATTTAATGATATACACCCTGTTAAATTTTGTCATTAAATAAACTTTTAATACATTTGATTGATTATTTTCAAATTTTAATTCTATGTGGTATGAAAGTTTAAGTACAGGTTGTGTTCGATATTGTTCAGTAGCTGACAAAATTCAAGGTCAGAGATCATCAGTGATGCTCCTCCCTCACCAAGAAACATCCACAATTTTTTACCATTACAACGGAGCACAGTGTTCTCTCCTGTCAAGTGTTTACCATGACACTTGGTGAATTTAGTAGGTGCTTTCCTGGTGGCTACTTTGACGTCCTGATTCTTACTTTGTACAAGTACAGGGTATTTATGTAAAATGGTGACAGCAGTTATTTTAAGAATTATCAATGCACTCAGTTTTGTAAATAATAAATTATTAAATACTTACTGAAAAGGCTTACCGTCTTAAAAGTTTCGTCTCAGGAAGTAAAAAACGTGATTATGAACGGGCTGTATAAATCTGGAGAAAATTTGTTCATTGATAGTCAAGTCACGGCCACTCCAATGCTTATTTAGTGGATATATAAATTTTTTTTTACAAAGTTTGATATCCGCTGCGGGTAATGTATCCGTTTATATTGTCTCCTTGTTTACATTCCACCATTCGATTTCGTGTAGCACCCCGATACTTTCGCTGATTTGTTTAAAATGACCAATATTTCTTTGTCACAACGTCATTTGCTCTACCACGTTAATTTATACTGACCTGTGGAAAAACACAAATGTCAACTTAATGTACACTATATCGATACGCAGCTTCAAGCATGATCGTCGAGGATCACACGGCAAGGGTGCTTTAAGATTGCAAACTCCCTGTGAGCGACTGATGGGCTCTCCTAATTACGAAGAAAATGTGACCAGGAGTACAGTACTTCACCGACCACTAGTAACTTGCCTGTGTGTTTGTTTTTATGCAATGAGTCAGTGTAAACGAAACAAAATCTATAGGATTGTCAAGCAGGAGTTAAAAGTAACGAAAATCATATCGTTGCTTAATGATTTTGTTGAGCATTGTCTTCACCAGTTCTCTCACCATCAGATTACAGTTATTTCGTAGTACATCTAGTTTCACCTATACTGAAATATATATTAAAAATACACAAAGAATACTGCGTGTTAGGTAAAGCAGGTGTAAGGTACTGAGAGCCGGGGTGAGGTGGGTTCCACAGCCTTGCCTCGAGGTGCTGCATGACCCACAACATTTCTACTGCCCCCTTACCCTCCTCTGCCCTCTTTCCCATCCCGCTAAAACTGGATACCCCATCTCGCTAAAACTGGACACCCCATCTAGAAGCGACAACCTACTCGAACATGTCACATTCCGAGATGAAGAAACGAGAGAGAGTTACCGGGCCAACTCTCACCCGTCACCCAGACCCCTAGGTGACGACCATAACGTACAAGGCGTTTTAAGGTCAACTCTTTGACTCGTGATCAAGATGACTTTGTTTATTCATTCCTTGTTTTTCGTTTCTTAGTAATATTATTATTAAGTTATAGTGTACACGTAAATTTATGTGTAATATATTATTGTTTTCATTTCCACAACACAAAGTCAATGCATCCAGTAGGCAAGAGAACTCTTCGTTACGCCTGCATATCTTTGTACAGCGTTACGTTATATGGGTTGATGTAGCACGTGAGGAAGAATGCGGCCACCTAAACCTGCCGCTGCTTCTCGGTTTCTCTCCAAATATTTTGATAATTATTGATTAAAATTATATACTAATCAGAAAATTATAAGCAAAATACTGATGTTTGTATTGATATTTTTATTGTTCGCCCGCGGTGAGCCTGTCCAACGACAACAACAACACTACTAACTTTCTCTCCGTACCAGTTTTTTGCAAGCTTATATAACTCCGGACTGTAACCATTTAAGGTAATATATATAAAGTGAAAGCTGCTTGTCACGGTGATTTGTTGGGGCCGTGGTGGGGAAGTGATTTGAGTAGAAGGAAGTGCTGGTTGCACGTTAACTTCATTCGCTGACGCTACAAAACTACTGTATTTGTATCCTTGTTAAACAGAATAACACGTTAGGCCTTCTCTTTAGAGTTGAAGATGGGTGTCAGCCGCTGGAAGGATACACTGTATTTCTCCTCGGCAACATAATTACTGGCCAGGACACAGCTTCCATCACCATTATGCCTATATGCTATCAATACCACGATGACCTACATAATGCCACATCCGCCAGTCAGTTGTACTCCGCCCGTGGTACCGCAGGAGTTTACAGTGGACTCTCTACCGCGTACGGGAACGTAATAAAAAGTTTAACTTAAGGCCTCGCATTTTAGTATTTCATCTATAGACTTTCCGCTCACTGGCTCCTTTCATGCACTCGTGAGCAATGGGTGTGGGATACCACTCCGTCCCATCATTATAACCCGGAACAAGCCATTACACACCAAGGTCGAGTTCTATTCATGATGTCTCAGTTGTAAAAGATCAAATGGAGGAAATAGAGGCTAATTATTTACGCCAGCTTTCTACCTTGAGTAACCCGTCAAGGTTCTATAATGTTCGCGGTGTTGACCAGCGGCGTGGCCAAGCCGCTAGTGCTTGTGTTAGTAAATAAATATTTTGCTCTAGGCTTGACAGTTAATCCAGGGTTATAAAGAAGTTACCACATCATCGTGGTGTGGCGGACACTGATGACGTGGGCCAAGTTCTGGGTCATGGGTAGAGCCCTCACCCACACAACAACCGGCACACATCTTTTGTTTACTTGGTTATATATATATATATATATATATATATATATATATATATATATATATATATATATATATATATATATATATATATATATATATACAGTATATATATATATATGATCTGTGAAACATGTATTACGAAAACTTACACGTTTTGAATCGAAAGTAATATGATATATTTCTTAATAGTGATATTGATGGTAAATTCATGGTTATAACAGTAATGTCATGTGGGTTAGTCACCCCATGAGTCGTGGTGATGCACGTGGGTGGCGGTGCTTCTGGTTTGGCAGTCACCCAGTCGTCGTAACCCAAGTCAAACTGATTTTTGAGAAGTTATTTGAAAAGGCGTAATAGTAGTAGTTTATGGTGGGGGCCAGACCACCTTTACACAATGAGTTCGCATAGGGGCAGGGACTGTAAAGCCAACATGATCTAAGTGTAGGTAATGGTTGCACGCCAAATGGTCCCTGTCCTAATAGACCATAGTCCTCCTAGGCCCCAACCTAATAAACTAGCCATTAACATTGGGGCTCCTAAAAATTGGAACCCCTTAGGACTGGTACCCCATCCTTATGGTTAGGTTAGACTGGAGCCCAGCACGACTATGACCTACTACGAACTAGGGCTCAACGCAAATAGGGCCTATTAAGACTGGGGCCTATTAGGAACTGTGGTCAGCACAACTAGGGCCTATTAGGACTGGGACCTAGAACGACTTGAGCCCAGAGCTTCGAACACTGCTGGTGAGAACCTTACATCAAGTAACACCGGCGAAGACCTGTCAGCTTCGTACGTAGACCTCTCTTAATGGTAAGAAGGAACTATTCAGCAATGCGTGTCAATAATATAATGTATTCCTCAGCTAACAAACCGGTTACCTTGTTAACAGAGGGTTGCTGCTTGATCAGTTTAGTACCGATATTTATAAAGAGTTGCTCCATGGAGACGCAGTTTCTTGGCATGTAACAGCACTTTGAGAGGATCACTTCAGGTACAGGCTGGTACAGTATCTCGAGTAACAGAAATTCCTCACGGCAGTGTCAGTCAGTAGTACTAGAGCGAGCCGTGGGCAGTAGCTAAGTTACAAGAAAAAGGTCGTATTTGCAGAGAAATCTTAGGTGTGTTTGCGTAACGTCGGACAGTCACTTGAACAAATAAGGCAGACTGACACCACCGTCATTACTGCCCACCACCAACCATCATCCCCCCCCCTCCCGTTAATGGACTATTAAAAGAAATGAATTGTTTTATTTAGGAGAGCAGTTAAATAGGTTTCGGTGCTCATCATCAGTCACTTACCCATACCCTGGGTTAGGTTAGGTTAGGCTAGGCTAGGTTAGGCTAGGCTTGGCTTAAGGCTGCGTCAGGTTAGATTAAGTTAGGTTTGATGACGTCAGGTTAGGTTGGGTTAAGGCTAGGAAGGATTAGGTTACGTCAGGTTAGGTTGGGTTAGGCTAGGAAGCGTTAGGTTACCTCTCTTAGTATTGTGCATCCTGAACAGAGGGCCTTATTCTACGGTGACTTGGTTACTACCCCAACCTCTCTCCTCAATGTTGTACCTCCAGACCCCAGGTTTTCACTGTGGCAGGTTGTCCCTCCTCCCCCCACCCCCCTTCCTCCCCTGTCCCCACCCCCTTCCTTCCTCCCCCGTTCACACCCCCCCGTCCCCACCCCCTTCCCCAGTATCACCCCTGGTGTTTTTTGTTTGGTGAAGAGTTGGATAATATTCATCCTGGTTCACTTTCCCTCGACCTTGCTACCTGCCGGCGCGCTTTTGTGGTGTGTGTGTGTGTGTGTGTGTGTGTGTGTGTGTGTGTGTGTGTGTGTGTGTGTGTGTGTGTGTGTGTGTGTGTGTGTGTGTGTGTGTGTGTGTGTGTGTGTGTGTGTGTGTGTGTGTGTGTGTGTGTGTGTGTGTGTGTGTGTGTGTGTGTGTGTGTGTGTGTGTGTGTGTGTGTGTGTGTGTGTGTGTGTGTGTGTGTGTGTGTGTGTGTGTGTGTGTGTGTGTGTGTGTGTGTGTGTGTGTGTGTGTGTGTGTGTGTGTGTGTGTGTGTGTGTGTGTGTGTGTGTGTGTGTGTGTGTGTGTGTGTGTGTGTGTGTGTGTGTGTGTGTGTGTGTGTGTGTGTGTGTGTGTGTGTGTGTGTGTGTGTGTGTGTGTGTGTGTGTGTGTGTGTGTGTGTGTGTGTGTGTGTGTGTGTGTGTGTGTGTGTGTGTGTGTGTGTGTGTGTGTGTGTGTGTGTGTGTGTGTGTGTGTGTGTGTGTGTGTGTGTGTGTGTGTGTGTGTGTGTGTGTGTGTGTGTGTGTGTCGGGATTTTGGGAGACACACACACCACTGTAAGTATTGTGAAGCCTGGTATCATTACACCCCCGACCTTCACCCGTCCTCATAAGCCTTACCTGCCCGCCTGTGTGTGTGTGTGTGTGTGTGTTTTTCAGAGTAACGCACACGTATTACACTATAAGAGAAAAGCATGTTTCATCTCCCCTTGTTCATACAAACTTGAGTTGGACCAAAAATAAAACAATGCTATTTTCAACAATTAATAGTTTGGACCCCCCTGAAGATTCGTCCCCTAAGTTTATTTCACCTGAATATCAATCAGCCTAGTGCTACCTCTAGTGCTCAGTTTAGGTGCGGTTAGGCGAGCGTTAGGGTGGATAGTCTTCAGGTGAAACAGGTTATGGGGGATGAATTTTCAGGTGATTCAAATTCTAAAAATTGAAATCGGAGAGAAAGTGAGCTAGAGTAAGGTAGATGAAGATGATAAATTACAGAACCTTGAGCACGTCACTTCTCCATCAGACTCAATACCTGTCAAATAGATGAATACCTGGAACACATCAGCCTGATATATTTGTCTTGAGTACTCTAGACTAGACATAAGTAGGAAAGTAAAGAGTATTGGGTGGACTTACGCCTCTCTGGTAGGGGGAAGGAGGATGGCTGAGCGAGGCTGCGGTAAGACTGGAGTCGAGTCTGGGTCGTCCAAGTCGGCTGTCGGCACCGCCACGCAGCCTGTGGGGGAGACGGGAACGTCCTCGTCAGTAACACTGTCTACTTCAGCTGACATGTTGTGGTATTCCTCTTACTTTGGTAACACATAGGTCAAGGATTAGGTTAGGATGAGGCACACTAGGACTGAACTTATTATATGAAGACTGGGCCTATTAGGACTAGCATCTATTTGACTTGTAGCCGCCCAAAAATGACACTTGTGTGAATGATGTATTTTGTGTTGAGTGGATGAGATAGAGCCTGGGATAATATGGGGGCTTGTTTAGTGGCTAAGGTGAGCGATAATTAACCCTAAATATTTGTGTGTTGGGGTTCTAATATTGTGTGTTTGCAGGCACATGTACTTAGTGGTTTTTTTTTTACTTCGGTATTAATTTATTGTCATTGTTTTGTAATCACTTTTCGTTGATTTTTTTTGACCGTGTTTTTAGATATTTCTATGCGGCTGCTATTCTGCGGTCGCCTCCTGGTATGGCAATGGCTGTCGACTGTTGACTTAGTTTCTCCGAATTAACTTAAGACACGTTCAAGTTCACTTGTAATGAGTCTTGAATTTATTATTCCAAAGTGATGACCCTTATAAAACTATCCTTATCTCCAGTATATTCATCATAATGTGTGTGTGTGTGTGTGTGTGTGTGTGTGTGTGTGTGTGTGTGTGTGTGAAAGTGAAATGGACTCCCAAAGGCCTCGTGGTTTGTTTTGGACAGTGCCAATACAACACTCGGAATACTAAGCCTTCGATATACAAGGAAACAAGTTACAAGAAGAAGAAGAATCAACCTTCTCACCTCTTTCTTCCCGTCCACCTGATGGTCACGTGGTTTCGACAGTAGGATTTAGCCATAAGAGGTAACAGGCCCGTCATAGTGGTTAAATAATCTTCACTCTCTGGATGATAATGGGATCCATACAATCAACTCACCCGAGGATTCGAACCCAAGACATGTAGAAGGGCGTAATAGCCGTAGACGGAGATGAGGTGACAGATCGGTAACAGCAGGAGACGGGGGGTAGAGGGACAGACTCGATAACAGCAGTAGACAGGGGGTAGAGGGACAGACTCGGTAACAGCAGTAGACAGGGGTAGAGGACAGACTCTGGTAACAACAGTAGATGGGGAGGTAGAAGGACAGACTCGGTAACAACAGTAGACGGGTAGAAGGACAGACTCGGTAACAACAGTAGACGGGGTGAGTGACAGATCAGTAACAACAGTAGACGTGGGTGAGGTGACAGATCGGTAACAGCAGTAGACAGGGAGGACAGACTCGGTAACAACAGTAGATGGGGTAGAGGACAGACTCCAGTAGACGGGGGGGAGACAGACTCACTCCGTAACAACAGGCAGGGGGGTAGAGGGACAGACTCGGTAACAACAGTAGACGGGGGGTAGAAGGACAAACTCCGTAACAACAGAGGGACAGGGTGGGACACTGAGAACTATAAGGGGTTATAAAAGGCTTTGATAACCCGATAAGACTTTTTTATTGTTATATCCCAGAGCCGCCTGATTCAACCCCCGACCATAAACCCTCTAATAAGGTGAGGGGCCTTAGATACAGGTGAGGGGCCTTAGATACAGGTGAGGGGCCTTAGACACAGGTGAGGGGCATTAGTCACAGGTGAGGGCCTTAGGTACACGTGAGGGGCCTTAGATACGCGTGAGGGGCCGCAGACACAGGTGAGGAGAAGCAGACACAGGGTCACGATACAGTTCACGGGACACGTGGGTTGAGCTGGACAAACACTAGATCTGCTCAGTAAACTTTTCCTTCACGCCGCATGACTCAGGTGGCTCCTCCTCAAACCCTCCTTTCCCTCTTTTTCACCTGTCTTCCTCACCTCTTCCTCGGCTGCTTCTTCCCGGGAATGTTGGAGTCCTTTCTCTCGCCTCCCAAATTTTGGTAAGACGCAAAACATTGATTTCATGCTGTGCGCCTCACGAACGTATGTTCTATTGTCCAGCAATATACCAGTCATATGTTAGCCCCTCCTGCATGATTATCCACAGTAAATATAGATCTAATGATAAAACCTGCTGACTCACATGAACTTGCCCAGCTGAAGACCAGCACAAATAAAGCTATTGACGTGACTTGATCTCTGACGCCCGTTTTGGTGAGTACACGTCATGAGGTGATGACCCTCCTTGCAAAAGAGGAGCTCGTCATGATAGAGGAGCCCTGGCAGGTGGCGTGGTGGGGGCCCATTAGGACGACTCGTCCTGAACGCGTAAAAGCGGCGGAGGACCCCGGCAGGTGGGTGGAGGCCCTGGTGGAGGGCCACGGCAGGTGGGTGGTAGAGGGCCCCGACGAGTGTCTACACAAACGGAGGAGGCGCAGTCGGCCATGAAAGGTGAGGTGTTTTAGTAACATTTTGTGAGGTGTGTGCACTGTGCAGGTGTTGCTGACGCCCAGCTGCTTATATAGTGTTCAACCCAGCCAAGTTACACTCTGCTGGCTTCACTAGTCACTCCCTGAATTTTTTGCTTCCACCATCTATACAGTACGGTACTTGGACAATATGTAGTGTAGTTCTTTGGATCAGATTAGCGTTATGAAAACAATAATTAATATTTTGGGATTTATGTAATTGATAAAGAAAGCAAAGTAACTTTTAAACCCTGTGAACGGTAGATGACAATTATTCTCTAAGTGACAATAAATAGCTCAGTAGACCTTTAGTGTTGTGAATAATGATGCTACATATATCTTCCTTGTGTCATGATAGTATTATGTCAGAACCACTGTACTCGTTTTTTTACCCTTGGAATAATTTACATGGGCATGATATTATTAAAAGTAAGTCAATGGCAATATTAAGCTGTTCAAGGATGCGTGAGACAGGTGTTGTTATAACCTGCGGGGCTAACGAGCGATTGACGCCTCGTTTAGGTGTTCGCGCTCACGTCAACATTTTAAACCAATAAATGAATGTATAAAAATTCTGGATAACTTCTCGTATATTTTAGTGTAATGAACCAAAACACGATTTTTCATGCAAATATTAATTTATTCCTACATATTCTATCAACCGCCAGAGGCCTCGCACTTGTATTTTGAGCGACTGTCAGACAGTTATCTTTTTGTTTCCTTTACAAACTGGTATAACGAACCTCGCCAAACACGCCTGGTTGGTTTCTGTTTAAAGGAGGAGGGCAGGGTGGAAGCTAAGTCACCACTACTGTAGACCTACGCCTCACCGCAGTTTGTTCATCGCGTGTGAAAATTCGAAATCTGTGCCAAAACGAGTTCTTTATTTCTTGTTTGACAGGTCATTTACCTCCACCAAGTAGTCCAACCACCTCACACACTGCCTTCCCTATAATTTTGTTAATTTTCTCATACTTTCTGGTAATAAATGTTAAAAAGGGATTTTCCCCCTCAAGTAACCTCATTTTCTCCAATTGTTAAATTATATGATAAAGTTTAGTTTTCAAGAGCAAAGTGTAAGTGTTGCAGGCGTCAGACACCGGGTGGTACTGGTGGCGTGGCGTAGCTCACCATACAGCGGTGAAACTGACCTCTTTATCAAACTCGTCATTGTGGGTATGTGCGTGGTCGTTCTGCTGCCCAACTACCCATGTAATCCCTCCCCCCCCTCCAAACTGGTTGACGGGCACGTTACTCGTAAATTATCGTTGTGTATGTCTCTTTTACATATTAAGCGTGTCACTATATGTGGAATACATGTATCCGTGTAACCTTTCTGGTGTTTTTGCTTGCATGGCTTAACATCCGGTACAACAAAGTACTCACAGCCGGTCATAAGGGATGCAGGAGGAGGCCGAGGAAGTCCTCCCAGCACCCTCCAGATCACATTATTTCCGTATCAAAGACGCCACTGATACGTCGAATATCAAAGGGGGTACTGCCGCTGCACCACCTATCTCAACCCTGGTATTCGCCTGCCTTCCTTCTCTCCAGACCAATATTATTAATTACGTTAAAACCTTATTTAGCAAAGATAACTAACTACGAGTAGGTGGAAAGCATTGTGACTAATTAAAGATATCAAAAAAAAAAAAAAAAAAATTAGCATTCGCGATTTTTCTTGCAAGCGTGGGCTATTCCAGGACAGTCTCTGCTGGACCCACATGAGAGGAAAGTGTGATTATATGGAGTAAAAGTTAATGGGACATATATACGCAAGCAGACGCTACGTGCACGAGTACAGCATTACGGCAACACAGTAACAACGTAACAACTGGATCAGGAAAGGCAGAGATACTGATACACTATTAAGAAGAAAGAAAAAACACATCACGGGAAGCCTAATGTCTTGCGCGACGAATTATGAAAACAAAAGTGGCCGCCACCACAACACAGCCCACACTGCTGGAGGAAATATAGTTCATAAGGACTTTTGTTTGACACTTGACCAGGGACCCTTACCAGGAACCACTAAGAAGGGCCACTACCAGGAACCATTAAGAAGGGCCACTACCAGGAACCACCAAGAGGGGCCACTACCAGGAACCACCAAGAGGGGCCACTATCAGGGACCACCAAGAGGGGCCACTACCAGGAACCACCAAGAAGAACCACCAAGAGGGGCCATTAACATACACACACACACACCAGACAGTTTATTTCACATATTTCTGCTGGCGACAATATAACCAACACTAACACTACAAACATTTTTCCTGTAATTTTCCCAGATACCAACACATGTTACCGACAGTGTTGCCTTGGTGTTAGATCCACCTTAAGACGTCCACGAGCCCTCAACCCCCTTTGTTCCCGCTTCTCCCTGAACCTTATCGTCCCGTCAGGATCATGGTCATGGCTTATGGTCATGACCTCCACCAGTCAGGAGTCTTACTAGATGTTTCTTGTCTTACTCAGTTGATTTTGAGGAACTCTCTGCCCGGCACCTCTGAGTCATATGAAAACATGAGTCAGCCAGCCACCTGCACGTCGTTGAAGGACCTGATCATCAGTTGGTACATTTATTCGCATAAAACTAAGACACGATTAATTTTTTTCGAGGTAAATGTCTAAGTGTCTTGTAAGGTTGTTTGTGTTCAACTTAGCTGTCTCACTCATCCAACACACTGTACTGTACGCTCATGGGGATCATACATGACCACAGACACACACACACACATACACATCAAAATATGCACACATATCAAAGTATTCACACGCACTAGAATAGCCACACACAATTTATTCACACAACAAAATGTTAACATATAACAAACTATCCACATAAAATATCCACGCACAAGAAATTTCACACACACCAAAATGTCCACATATAGAGCAAAACATCCACACACATCGCGATATACACAGAAAATAATTCGCACAAAACAAACTATCCACAGAAAGATGTATAAGATATCCAAACAGCAAATAATCCACTTACAACAAGACATCCACTTATAACAAATATAATCATAATAATATATCCACACAGACTATCCAAACAACAAAATATCCACATAACAAAATCTCAATACCCAAATTATCCGCACATCAGAATATTTCCACCCAACAAGATTTCCACACACACATCTACATATCCAAATAAAATACATCCACATAAAAAAATTATCCTCACAGCAAAATATCTAGTTATTTGAATATCCACACCTAAACATTTGAGGCAATAAGCCCACACTTTCTAGTAATATAGGTCATTGTTTTGGCTCCGTCTCTGGCGTATACAAAAGTGAAAAACATTACACCCAGCAACTTCCATGAGTAAGATCACCTCACGGCGCTTTTAAGAGACAACACGTGGAGTTTCCTGCCTGAGAAAATAACACGTGAGGAAGTCATTGTACCCCCCCCCCCCCACACACACGTCTTTTGTTGTGGTGTAGAGGGGCAAGGTTTTTATGTGATGGTGATAATGTGTTCACAATTAGGGACCACTAATCAGGGACTACTATCAGGGACTTCTATCAGGGACCACTTCTAGGGACCTCTTTCAGGGACCTCTTATTAGGGACCAGTACCAAGGACCACTACCAGGGACCTCTATCAGGGACCACTACCAGGGACCACTATCAGGGACCAGTACCAGGGACCTCTATCAGGGATCATTATCAGGGACCTCTATCAGGGACCAGTACCAGGGACCTCTATCAGGGATCATTATCAGGGGGACCAGTACTATCAGGGGACCATCAGGACCAGCCAGGGACCTCTATCAGGGATCATTATCAGGGACCTCTATCAGGGACCAGTACCAGGGACCTCTATCAGGGATCATTATCAGGGACCACTATCAGGGACCAGTACCAGGGACCTCTATCAGGGATCATTATCAGGGACCACTATCAGGGACCAGTACCAGGGACCTCTATCAGGGATCATTATCAGGGACCTCTATCAGGGACCAGTACCAGGGACCTCTATCAGGGACCTCTATCAGGGACCACTACCTTGGATAATCTTGACTCTGTGTGGGGGATGTGACCCGTGTCGAGGACTACTGACACCCCTACTCCTGTGACCCACACCTGGCTCTTATAACAGGTGTTGTTTCATACACCTGGCAAGTTACTTTTTAAGGATTAGCTTTCAACTATTCTTTCAATTCATGTCTGTAATAATGAAGAGGACGGACATGTTGCACGCGATCATGAATTACGTACGATCTTGAAATTTTCGGAGACTAAGCTGTCGTAAGCAGCCCTCCCTCCTAGGATTCTACCATCTCGGTTCCTTGATCACTCGTAACAGCGCCATGGCTCTAGTACCATAAGCACACTGCCTCTCCAACAGCGTGAAACATTAGGTCGATTTATGAATTTACTCACAACGTAGCCAGTCCAACAGAAACGTATTGTTAATGTCAGTGTGGTTACGTGTGTATTGCGGTTGGTGGGGAAAGAGCCGTCAGTGAGAAATAATTACCTGTGGGCTGACTGTCACAGGTGCGCGAACATAAGGGGATAACTGGGTCGGGGGACCTTGTGTATTGATGTGATTGATGACGGGACTGTCTCTTCCTGTCCACAGTCGAGTTCATTTTTGACGTGGGAAGAATTACCACTGACGGACACTACCAACTCAACGTTACGTATATTAAGAATCATTATTTCAATATACGTAAAAATATGTTGTTAGTTATGTCTGAAATATTTATTATATAATTGAATGCATTAAGTATCTCAGATAGTCGAGAGATAAACGTTTATTGCTATACTGTATTGTAAATGAAAGCCTGATTTGATTGATAAGCCTTGATCCGTTCGTTGAAGACCTGTTAGTTAGAAAATTACAATACATACATACATACATACATACATACATACATACATACATACATACATACATAAACAAAGCAAAAGGGTTATACTAATATGAATTGCAGTACTTCACACACACACACACACACACACACACACACACACACTCTCACACTCGTACTCGTATAATTCACACTATAACTTACTGTAGTAGCATGATGATCTATATGTTAAACACGGCTACACACAGTACCCTCTGAGTTATGATGAAACCTCTCTATTACCTGACACTATAGACCATATAAACAAACTGTAGTGAGAAGGAGGTTCTTGGTATAATGGTATAGTAATGTACTTTACTCACCTCCCACGATGAGAGCGACGATGAAAAGTTGAAGGGTCATCTTTCTAGGGGTTGTGTTGACGCTCCTTAACCACTACACTTACTTAATCAGTTTTCTCTCAGCTACGCAGTACCCAAAAGGTTAAGTTGGAGTCGTCTGTGTTTTTGTGATGGGGGAGTAGTAGGCAAGTGAGTGAGGTTCTAAGTCCCTCCAAGCGGCCTCCAGATACGATACCTTCTGACTGCTCCTCAACTTGGACTTTCTCTTATATCTCCTTGCCATCAGATCTTAACCAGAGTTGCCAGTTAACACCAAAATAACAATTAGTCTTAAATTCGTAACCGGGATTGATTCACTACTTAGCAATTATATTAAGGAATGAACAAATGTATTTATCAATTACTATTGCCCTAAAAGAATGTAATGAAATAATATATATATAGGGGGTAAAAACGTAACAACTTTCACGTGTATTGGTAAACAGAAACGTAGATAAGTGTAGATAAGAGATGAGGCAAGATTTCAGTGATTAATTACAGGGTATTTTCCATATTGTGTCGTAAGACAGGAAATAACGGCGAAGTGGGGCGGTCATCTCAGAGGAACACCCCCACCTCCTTCCGCCACTCATCCATCTCATCTTTTAAAAGTAAATATTTATCCCCACTTGGCTAATTTATCTATGTAAAAACCTGACTGTGAGTGCCAGAGCTACAGTCCACAGTCGGGTATTTCGATCTTAAATTAGACTGTACGTAAAGCGGTTAGGGCTCCAATATTTGACAACAGAACACAGGAGTGGCGCCATTAAAAGCCAACGAACTAATCTGGCTAAATAACTTTCTTTCTGTTTTCTCTAGAAGAGTTACGGACTACGAATAGCATAGCATACATACATACATACATACATACATACATATATATTTGTATCCACAAATTAAGTCAATGTGTATTACTTTATCTACGCCACTGGACCCTGACACTGAGCTTTCAAAGTTAAGTACATCGAAGGAGCATTAAAAGGGATTTTTCAGGGAGGGATTAGGGTTCCAGGGAGGGTCCAGGAGGGGGTTCCAGGAGGAGGGTTCAGGAGGGGTTTCAGAGAGGATGGGGGTTCAGGGAGGGATGAGGGTTCCATTGAGGGACGGGGGTTCTAGGGGAGGGATATGGATTTCAGGAGGAGGGATCCTGGGAGGATGGGGTTCAGGGAGGGTGAGGGATTCTGAGGGGATGGGGTTCAGGAGGGAGGTGTTCAGGGGAGGGTTCTAGGAGAGGGGACAGGAGGGGTGAGGGTTCAGGAGATGGGGTTCCCGGGAGGGTGTTCCAGGAGGTTCAGGAAGGGTTTGTGGGGGAGGGATGGGGGTTCCAGGGCAGAGTGTATGTTCCAGGGAGGATGGGGGTGTTCAGGGAGGGAGTTCGCTTGGACTACTAAACAAGCTGAGAGCGAATGTCCCCAACTGTGGCCCAGGTCAGCTCGGGTCACTGGGCACAGAGGCTTTGTCACAGTCATCAACTAAACTTCCTTAGCTCATTTGACAGTGTTATTAAAAGTGACAGAGGAGCGTGAAATCCTAAGACGAAATTACCTAAATACTATGCACTCCCCCCTTCCCTCCACACGCATGCATATATATACACACACACACACACAAACACTGAAGTGGCTTGGATTAAATGAACTGTGTGACTAGTACTAACTATCATGTGGCCTGAAGCGTGTTCACTAGTTGAAGTACAGCATAACCACACCGTAGAGTGGTGGTGTGGCGGCTACTACACCTTCACCACACCCACAACACCTGTAGCATCCAATCCTCCCATCACAAGGATATTCTTAACACATCTACGAAATTATATAAAAAGATCAAAACAAAAGTACAAAATCTTCTCATGTCTACAAACTACAGGTGGAGGAACTCACTGTAGAGTGTGTACATCTCTGGGTCATTAGTGATACAGTTGTGATCGTTAACAAGTTTTATTATTGGGATATTATTATGTAAACAGTAACCCTTTCAGTAAATGACGTCACAAGAGGGCGTGGCTGCCTTTGTGGGTGAGGCTCCAGTCCAGGTATTCCCAACCAGCGGCTCGCCAGCAATTTCTATCCGACCCCATCCGTAAATTAAATGAGTTTAGTATAAATTTGTTTTGCATATGCTCGTATACAAAGTTTAGTCAGTAATATTATGCAAAATCCTAATCTCCAATTCACTGACCTGTTTCAGTATTTCATGGATAGTATTGTGATGGACTAAAACTGCTCTGGTAGAATCACAAATTGACCAACTCTTGAGTTTCCAGAACTCAGACCTGCGAACAAAGTATAGTGACAAGCCGATCCTGGAGTTTTGTGAAGCATATCTACCAAGAAACATTATTTTTATGTATTTTTTTATTGTTTTATTATTACCCCTTCGCCCCCCGCCTTCCCCCAGGCCCCGTTGTGGGTCGATGACCTACGCCCCGATGGGCTATTCCCCGTAAAAAGAAAAAGAAAAAAAATCTTTGAATATACTCACATTCCATTCGCGTGGTCTCACTCTTCGGGTCAGCCGATTCATGTGAAAAGCTTTCAGTAAAATTAAATTCACAAAGACAAAGTAATGCTCTGGTATCAGTGTCAGCCACCTGGAAGAGTGTTTGAGAATGATGAGTTCTCAAATCAGACAGAGACTTAATAATATAGTATACTGAAACAGATGCAGTGCCTAGTGGCTCACTAGTAAGGCATTACACTACACTACACTACAATACATGCATGCTTGCTTGGTTGTCAGAAAACAATTATGCTCTTAATATTAGATTTTAAAAAGTTCTGTATATTGTTCAACTGTGTGCTACAGTGCTTATATGCGTAGGCCTACATTCTAAAAACAGGCACCGTTTTCTTGCTTGTTGTGCTTCACCTAACACCAAAAATATTGTCGTGTGGTTCCCTTGTGCTGCTAGATATGAAGCTGGGTCCTTGTGCGGAAAAGGTTGAACACTTCTACTCTTGTATAACAGCAGTGAGTTAGTCCAGTGTCTCAGCGTGCATATCCCAACTAAACCATTTATTGAGAGAGTGAATGTCGATGAGTTAAAATATTTTCTCAGCAAACACTCCTTTAACCAAACGCCTGGAGTCACTCGTCGCCTTAGAGACAAAACTAATCATAACTGCATATTACGAAGAGGAAATTTGGTTATTGAAGTCATCGATCTTGTTGGGTTTAAAACATATACTCGAAATATCAAAATTCATTACTGTTTGTTTAAGTTGTCACGGATGGATGAGCGAATTTGCATATGTAAACACAGACAGACGAAATAATACCGAGTCGATGTCCTTCACCACACATTCCTAACACAAGACAAATAATTCTTGATTTTTTATCTTAATAATTCAACATTACTAAGAGACAAAACCCTATTAATAAGTATACAATTCGTTACCAAAAGTTCGTAATCATTTTAACCAACACCAAAACAGATTTTAACTGGTAGAATATTATGTTTAACTTGAGGCTGTGTTAGTGAGCGACATCATGAAGTACCGGGAGTATTAGATAGTGTCGGCCATGGATGGAATCTTCGTTCTGGCTGGTGTGTGTGTATAACTAAAGGTGGATGTTGGCAGTGAAGATAATGATGTGCAGTACAAGAAAGGATCAACAATGAGTTTATAATGTTAAATAAAAACAAAAACAATCACGTACCCCTTAATAGTGCAGAAAAAGGTAATGTTTTAGCCATTTTGTTCTTTTTTCTTCAATTTTTCAAAAACCGTGCGTGTTTTACGAGGCATTTAGAATGGTGGGGCCAAGTATCAAAACAATCCACCTGGTCACTTTTTTTTCTTCACTGACGGGTGTGCGAATTAACTCTTCTCCCCTTGGATATTAGGACCTGGCGGGGGATCAAATAGATAAGCCCGTGGCGTAGGGTGACAACCGCGGCCACCCAAACACTGGAGTCATTCACAGTGTGAGATAAGAACGAGGCATTTCCTGATTGTGGAGCTGGGCACGTGACCTGGCGCCGACTCGCATCACAATATATTTCTTCTGGGCTTCCCGGCGTATGGAACTTCCGTCGGGCTTCTTACAGAGATAATAGCTATCTTGTCTTGAAAGTAATGAAACTGTGGCAAAGATTGCTTTACGTCGTTACATAATTAAGGAGGAGGCAAGTGAAAATCTCCTGACCTGTATGAAAGACTGTACTCATGTCCTGTAAGGCTTTTGTGACCCAGGTAGGTAGGTGTGTGTGTGTGTGTGTGTGTGTGTGTGTGTGTGTGTGTGTGTGTGTGTGTGTGTGTGTGTGTGTGTGTGTGTGTGCGCGTGTGCGCGCGTGTGTGTGTGTGTGTGTGTAATAATAATAGTAATAATAATAAACGGTTTATTAATAGAGTTGCAGCCGGTGGCTGAAAATATACAGACTTACATTTGATTTAGACATAATGATATAATGTGCATTGAATACATTTACAGGGCTGTACAGTACATAAATCAGGAGTTGTTTATTATTTTAACAATAGATGGGATGGTGCTGTTCTTATATCTATCGGTGCGGGTTCTTAAGGACTGAATTTTGTTGTAGTGGCGGACTGCGCGAGTTGGGTGGGGGGCTGCAGGTGGCAGGAGGTGGCGATGACGAGGGTGGTGCAGTAGTCCACGGCCAAACCTTTCCAGTGCTTGGTGGTGGAGGTCACTGAGGGATGACATTTCCAGGGTGGAGAGAGCGTTGGTGTAGCCGGAGTATTCTGCGCCGAGCATGATTCTGCAGGCCCTTTTCTGTACCTTCTCTAGCTGACGTTGTTGGGTGGAGTTGAGAGAAGACGACCAGGCTGGTGACGCATACGTTAGTTTGGGAAGAATAAAGGCGTTGTAGATGGTCCTCAGCTCTGGTGTGGGTGTCCCAAGTGACCTAAGTCGTCGTAGCATGTAGAGACGGTACGAAGCCTTCCAGTCAAGTTTGTTGTCTATGGTTACACCCAGGAGTTTGGCAGACTGCACCAGCTGGAGAGGATGGGCATTCACTGTGTGTGTGTGTGTGTGTGTGTGTGTGTGTGTGGTGAAGTCTCGACTATCAATAAACAAGCCATAAAGTTCAATTGCAGGCAAGAATAATGACATTAACTTGGACAAATATTGTGTCAGGTGACGTAGGCTTGTACACAGAGAACACAGCTCCTTCCCATCCAGTGTTCACCACCACCTGTCTTACCAACACCCTTATATTCCCTGGTTAATTTGTTTACCCGGCAGCTGACCTACAG